ACGCGTTCCTTATCTGCTTCGATATAAATAAATTCGTGGAATTTTGAGTAAAGAAAAAAAAACAAGTTGAAAGGTCTTTAGTTTGAGCAGTGAAAATAATCGATGTTTTTTCTACGGCTTACGCAAAGAAATTTACAGGCGACAAAAGTGGAATTGACAAGAAGGTAGTCATATATTTTTCTTAGAAAGAAGGTCCCGTTCTTGCTATTGTTTCTTTAGGGAAAATCTAGAATTTTGTTCCGTCCATCATTTTCATGGTCGGTAACAGATGGACAATAGATCTATATTATCTCACAAGTCATTCACGTTACCTATGCTATATTGCGTAATAAATAACGAAGATATCACGCGATATAATATCGCGAAAAGGAAAAGAGGAGACGTATTATGATTGCCTTTGTGCATCGGATATTTCAAATGGTTCTTTGCTTCTTACAAAAGCAATCCTCAATTGTCTTTCGATTCCTGTGAATATTCTTCCCTTAGCGTTTGACGTTGCGGGAAATAAAAGCAAAAGAGAAAAGTTCTTGTGCGAACAAAAGTTATTACGAAAAGCGTACTTTAGAAATATACTTATTTCGAGTTAAAATCGAAGTGTTACATTTCGCGTCCGGGAGCGACACGAATCGATTTTCCCTCGGGACCCACTTACGCGGTAACGAGCAACTTAAGATCCCCAATCTACTAATATCAACAGTTTTCGCGATCGCTTCAAGGACAAGCGCAGCTCGTAAAAGCTGGATAATCAGCGTCGCGGCAGTGCCCGGTGCCGTTATAATCGTTAATCCCGTACCGTTTGACGGATGTCCTTGGCGGGAAAAACTGTACTTCGGGCTCGGCGACCCGTAATTACTTCGGGAACGCGTTTGAAGTATGATCACGTATATCCTACGCGCAATTTCCGATACACGCGACACCCTCCGCGCGCGATCCGCGGGTCCCGCTCCGCGAGCGCGATATACACGCGATTGTTGTTGTGTCGATCGTGTTACGAGACGATCTAAACTTTCCTTGGATATGACTCAGCCAGCCTGTGCCTATCTGGGCAAACCATTTCCTCTCTGTAATAACACACGCGATGAAGGTGCGCGCGATAAGCGAGGTAATCGGAGCGATAGCACGTATAGGAAGGTAGTAAGAAATTTATGACGTTGTTTTAGACGTTGAGAGAATCTAGCGGAAAGGATACGTAACAATTCTTGTTGCGTATACTCATTTCGAACGATATATCAATCGCTTTATTATTTGTTTTTAACGATTCATTCACATATCGATGACTCACTTATTTGTATACCGTTATAAATAAAAATTTGACCTTGATACTTATAATATTACAATGTACATGCGATATTAGAATGATGATATTTAGAAATTACCACATTACTTTTCACAAAAGGTAAAACTTGTTATATCTATTTTAATATCTAAACTTATTTTAACGCAACGCGCAATGTAAGAGCTTTTCGTATATACGATGGATGTGAATATAAATCCGGGATGGTGATTAGAAAGTTTTCAGTAGTGTATTCCGCGTACGGATGAACGCGAGTGTCCTGTGAAACCAACTTACGAATCGCCGTGGTGATTTCTATTCTGGATTACATTACCATTCGCACCGTGAACGTGACTTCGCCCGTTGTCCCTCCCGCAGCCGGCGGGCGGCGATTGCTAAATCTCTCCGCTCCTTCCTCTCTGGTTGATATATTTCCCTTGTAACTAGACGAGAGGCGGCGGGAATCTCCTCGCGGGCGGTAAACGGCGCGTATCCGACACTCGACGGTGCGAACGAGACGGTGAAAAAGCCGCGCGCGCGCGTCTCGCATGAGAAGTTAATCGGCGCGGGTTGAGAGTTCAGCGCAGGAGAGGAGAAAGTCAACGAACCAATAGCGCGAGCGGCACTTGATTGACTCTGAATGGCACGTCGCTTTTATTACGTGCAATCGGTCATAATCCGTCTCCGTTCCACCCGCTCTCGCGCCGCCATTCACCGGCTCGCCGGCTCTCTCGCACGCACACTTCTCGCACTCGCAGTCGTCGTCCTACATCGCGGCGCGACCCGCATACCCGGTGGCGTGCTCAAGTATAATACCGAAGCCGCCGCACGTCGCGCGATTATTCGCGAGTGTTTGAAGCCACCGGATAACGAGACAAGTGAAATTGTATATCCCTGTCCGTTCGGGCCGAACGACCGGATTGTCATTCGATAAGCGCGCGCGAGCGTCCGCTTGGCGAACAGCGGGGGAATGCGGGAATGGAATATTTATGGAGTGTCGCAACAGAGGCGACGTAACGTTTCGCATGCGGAGTTGCGTGATTATAATTCATCCGCGCGCGCCGATGACAAGGAATGTAAACAGCTTCTATTATGCCCGAGTGCAAAGCTCCGTGCGTGTGCTTCTCTTTTTTTTCTTCTCTTTTATAGATAAGCGCCTGTATAAGCGGCTTGTAGATAAGCGGCGTGTATACGTGTGTGATGTAACGCGGCGGCGGGTTTGGTATGACACGGTACGCGCGCGGTTAGATGTGGCATGGCGTGACGTTACGTTTGCCGAGCACTTTTAACGAGGACTCCTGCCGGCGCTCTTGTGTGCCACATCGCCCTCGTTACACCTTCTTTTTGTTAAGGACGCGACGCGTCGAGCATAAAACGCGCGACGACGACGACGACGCGAAGCGATGACGCGAGCGTCGAGGTAAACAGAATGTGGGTTGACATTTACTTCGCGTCTCTCGATTAGCATAGTAAACCTTGTTCTCGCGAGCCTATAATTAGATTCGCGGCTTCGCGAAGAGCTCCCTGCTCCCGGCCTCATAAAATTTTACCCTCTTGCAAGGACGCGCGACGTCGACGTCTTTCTTCCTACGAGGAGCCTTGACACGGCCTTGATCCTACCTCACCTTGAGGAAAAGAAATACGCGATACCTATATGCTGTATTTTAAAGGAAAAATAGTAGGTCGAAGCATTTTTATCAAAGTAGGTCACCAATAATGAAAACTGTAGAAACTGTTTGCAAATCAATATGGGAGTCTCTTTTGAATCGGAGAATCTTTTCAAAGTGAAGTTACCTCTTTTTATTATTTATTTTGTAATCGAAGGATAAGTTTCTTTAAATTCTTTTGCGAATAAATTTTAAGAATTTTGCCGGATATCTTTCTATTCGAGAGTGAAGTACCGCACTTGGAATAATTCGCTTTATTTGCAATCAGAAAGGTGAAGGTTTGACGAATTATCAACTCTCTTGCAGAGAAATTTTAACACGCTACGCGAATTCGGGTGGTATTGCTTCGCAACTTCCGCTGACTGACGTATTTACCCGTGATTTCAAATCCCGGGGAAAACAGGAAAACAATATTTACCGTCCTTCTTTGCCTCGTTACTTGCCGGTTACTTGATTACATTAATTTACAACCTTCCAGTCGCTCCAGAAACGAGTTCCCCGACGAGGAGTTTAATCGACGAGCGTCGGCAACCGGCGGAAGCTGTTTGTTTGATCCTCCCGGGGAAATTACTTAGTTACACGTCGAAGTTCGTCCGACAACTTCGCGAGGAGTTATTTTCGAGGCCTCTTACGGCGCCGCGTCGCCGGTGGCATTAACGAAGTCAGTCGGTCCGGACGCGCAATCTCGCGCGAAGCTAATCACACGAATCCTCGCGCCTCTTTCTCACGGCAATACCCTGGACGTCATCGCTCCAGTTCACTTTTCTCGGACGATCTGTCGTAGACATCTCGTGTTTTTCGCCCAAAATCTCTCAAGTAACTCGAAACCTGTCGCGAAGTCAGCATTCGTATTTCACAAATGAATTAGCCGTTCGCCATGTGGCACTCGCATATCGAGTTAGGGAATAAAAAATTGAATTTCTCACCGTTACTCGAGCAGTCACTCCCTTCTATCGCGACACTGATTTAACGGTAGTGTGAACACTCGGTCTTGATCGCGCGCGCGCGACGTTACGACACGCATGAGAAGTTTTATACTCCGCAGATTAAGCGACCCGATGACACACGCGGAAAGTCCCCGGCAAGATATATGCAAGTTATTCGTGTTTTTTGTTAGTGCACCACGTATCTCCGTATGTTAATGAAAAACACTTTCGCTGACGAGGATTTTGGAGCAATCACGCGAACGGTACGTGTTATCTCGGGAGAGTTTGCGCCAGTGCGTGATAAACCACTCGGACGGGCTCGTCCGATGCGCGAGTTACTGCGAATCGCGATCGGATCGGCTGTAAAAACGGTATTTGTGTCGGTAATCATTTTTTCCCTCCCGCGTCGCACGCCTCTGCCTCGTGGAACGTAATGGACAATAATTATTGCACACGCGCGTGACACCGTCTGTGTTTGCTCGTATTTGCCTGACAATTGAATGACGTGCCGTCTGGACTGCGGTATTTGCATAACAACAGAATGTAACGATAAACATTGACTTTGGAACATGTGCGAAGGACGCCGCGAAAGGCACAGTGCATAAACGTAAATTTATATATTAAGTGTTCTTTTTGTAAACATTGTGTGAATCATCGTATTTTAAGTTCTTACCGAAGATCTCTCTCGCAGCTATGCTAATTGTGCGCGTTCCAATCCTCCTTAAAATAAATTACAGATCAAATGGCACTGATATGCACATGTATGTATATACTCGTATGATGAAAATAGATCGCGCAAATATTGGTTTACATTTGCGATATAAAAGGAAGTCATAATCGTAAAATGGTAACCCTTTAATCTACGTTATAAATTTTTGAATAGCTGACTTTTTTTTAAAGAAGATTGATAAAAGTATTGTTGACAGTCGGAGAAATAATACTATCAATCTCGATCAAGCTTCTTGCGCAATGCCTTTCCAATTTTCGGAAATCGATCTTGTAGGTCACGTAGATCATCGCCGTATCATTGAGATAAAATGCGAGATATGAAGAAAGCATTTGTCACAAACAGTATCTCTGATGAATCGTTAAGCGATAAGCGATGAAAACGATTGGCAGTATTGATTGAAGTAGGTGTCTTATGTCCCGCAGAGGAACATGCAGTCGTCGATAGGATGGCCCGCTTTCATGCAAGTACAGCAGTCGAGGACGCACGGGACGTTGACGGGTCACCCCGTCTCTAGCCACCATCATCCCAGCGGTCCACCGGGCGGGTCCGCCGCCGCCGCAGCCGCCGTCGCGCATCCCGTTAGCATCGCGCAGCAGCAGGTGCAGCAGCGGGAGCGTGAGGAACAGGAACGGGAGGCGCGGGATCGCGAGCGGGAACGAGAAGTTCGCCACCAGCGGGACCACAGCATGGCGGCGGCTGAGAGGATGCACCAACGGCAGCACGAGGCTAGGGAGAGGGCCGAGGCCAGGGAAAGAGTCGCCTATTACGCGACCACGGCACCGTCGGCTCAACAGGTACGCGATCTCCGCGTGATATATTCGAGGGGAAGATCGAGCAGACTGTGGTCTTGATATCTCGGCGACGACGAATTTCGTTAAAAATATGCGAGAGATATAGAAGACTTATGCATGATATTATCATATCTCGATCCCTTCGATTTTAATTATTTTAGTAGAATTAGAAAGTTAAAATTGAACATTAATTTGCGACTAGTGATTACATCGCGATGGATCGTTTTATAAACGTAACACGGTGTTTTCAGGTTCGACCTTCGAGCGTGCCCGGGAAAGTCGAGTACCCGCCACCACCGGCGCACTCGCGGACGTCGAAATCGTCGTTACAGGTCTCCGCTCGAGATCGGCCAATAGTTGGGCCGACGCATTCACTACCGAAAGTCGAGCCGAGCCTGTTCAACTATTCGACGTATCAAGCGCAGCCACCCTGCACGACGTATTTGCATGACCTCAAGTTAAAAAACGACATGGGGCCGCACAAGTCGTTATCGAGCAAGAGCGAGCTGACCGGCGGCCTCGAGAGGGACCATCACGGCAGAGAGGTGCTGCAGAATCCACCATCCCTGCTGCCGGACCACAAGAGCTCGGTGATCGTGAAGAACGAAGGCAGGGAGCTGCCGAAGACTCCAGCGCCACAACAACACTCGTCCAGCCCGAAGATAATGCCTTATATGAACGTCCAGTCGGTAGCACCGCAGCACAAGTCGTCGGCGTACGAATACAGGAGCCCGACGCAGAGCCCGCATCATCTGCATCCCGCGCACTTGGACGGTCTACAGGCGGTGAAGAGCATGGCATCGTCCGCGAGTCACCACCGCGGCGGCAGTGGCAGCGGCGGAGCGACGACGACGCAATTGCCGAGTCCGCATGGCCATCCACCGCCGCCGGCGCAGCCCGAGCAGCGCCTGCACTCGCACAATCCCCGTCAGTCCCCGCATGCCCCGCCGCAGCATCCACATCAGCCGCCGCCACCTCCGCATCCATCGCCGCCTGAATCGCGCTATCTCAGCAGGCCGGAACCCGCGGGTCTGCCGTACGGCGCGGCCAAGTCCACGTATTCGTACTCGCATCCGCATCCGCCCACGGCCTCGCCGACGGCGGCGTCGCACTACGCCGCGCCGCCGCCGGCCGGCTCCAAGCCGAAAGTCAGCAGCCCGGCGCCGCCGCACATCTACGGCAAGCCTAACTCCGGCATTATGACCGGTACCCCGGTCTGCCGTGCCTCTGAAACGCCTGTCGCCGCGCCAATACCGCTGACCTCGAAGGCCGGTAGCTCGCCTTACCAGCAAGTGCCTCATCATCACGGGGCGCCACCGCCGCCGTTGCCGCCACCCGCGCACAGCCGGTCCGTCTACGACAGCCGCGGCTTCGCCGGCTCGTTGCCGGGCGCGAAACTGCCGCCGCCGACGTTGCACGGCTCGCCGCCCACGGCTGCCTCGGCGCCGCTTTCAAGGCCGATCGCTCATCCCGCTCATCCTGCTCATCCCGCGCATCTCAATACCAGCCCGCACCAGCAGCCCGGCCAGACGTTGCAGCACGCGCAGTCCCAGATCACCGCGGCCTTCCAGACGCAACCGCTTGACCTCGGAGTGGAGAGGTCAGGGTCGCCCAAGAGGAAAGCGCCGACACCGCTGTTGTGTGACAACGCCAGTGGCCAGCCGGTGTCGTTAGAAGTTTGTAAGAAGCGAAGAACCGAGGAACCGCAACCATTGTCCTTGCAGTCCGTCGGTCAACCCGTTCTTTCAAGGGTGAGCGAACCCAGTCCGCTTATCGCCTCGGCCGCAACGTCCATCACTACAGTTGTTAACACCGCGGCATTGTTAGCGCAGCCGAACAGTCAGGCGATGCAGGAGCAGCGTACGGTGACGGCAGCGAGCCCGGCCCCGGGAACCGCCAGCGGCGACGGCTCCGTACGACCCTCTAGCACCGGCAGCGTATGTTCGTTGAATCCGGCACCGGTGAGCGCGGCACCAAGCCCCGCGCCCATTCCCAGTCCGGCGCCGTCCACGGCACCCAGCCCGGTGCCCAGTGCGCCTGGCACGCCTGCCAAGACGAATCCCAGCAACGCCGACAGCGAGAAGTGCAACAGTCCGGCACCGAGACCACCCAGCAGTACCAGCTATCCAGTGCACAAACTGAAGAAGGCGTGGCTGCAGAGACATTCGAGGTGCGAGGACGGCACCGAGAACACCACCAGCATGGCCAGCAGCGTCACGTTACCGCTCAATATCTCCCGCGAGACCCCGTCGTCGAATAGCAAGGATCGCGACAGCAACAACGCGTCGTCAAATGCGAACAACAGCAACGCATCAACCACCTGTTTGCCCAGCGCGGTAAATTCGATCCACAATATCGGTAGCATGGCGGTGAACAGCATCAACAAGAGCAAAGTTACCGGCAAGAGCGGCCGAAAACCGGCGAACAAGGAGTCGCTGAACGGTCACGCCACTGACACCAGCAAGACCCCGCAGGAGGACTCGTCCAGCAGCGACCCGGAGAGGAAGTCGCCGCCCAAACGGAAGCCACCCAAGGTATCTATCTATACAGATCGCTTACGGTAGTCGTTGTTGTTGCTAAAAGTCACTATTTGCAATTTGGAGTGCGTATGCTGTGCTGGTAGTTTAGTACACGCTTACCTAGTTTGCTCGAAGACTATTTTCCCTCATTGAATAACATGTAATAATATGACTATCATAAATTTTATAAAAATATATAATAAGATATACGAAAGAGGTATAATCGTCGAATCTAATGATTATTAGATCTGATTTTTTTATTGATTAAAATGTTTTATCTTTATATAGAAATATCTGCAATTGTACATTTTTTAGATGTATAAGATAATTCTCTTTAATAATATGTTATCTAATAATTTTTATAACAGAATGTTACTTATTAAACTACTTAATATTTTCTTGATAATTGTAGGTAGTATATTTCAGATGATTGTTCCTGTTTTGTGTGATATATTTTTTATCTTATAGCGAGTGAATATGAATAAATTGAGAGCATTAAGTTTACTAAAAACTTTAGCATTAATCACTTGTCTAATTATACAGTCGGAATTGATGAAGTTTGTTATTTTGTATCGGTATCGTGCCTTCGGGCAATAAATTTCATAAGAGACCTGTAGAAATCATAGACGCATGAATATGGAGTAGTTTTATTTGCTATGCCGTAGTTTTTAATTTACAACTGTTATGGACGAAAAAAACTCTTGATCATCGTGAATATTTGCAGTTCGAAAAAAAGTTGTCATCTCGTGTTATGAAAGAAAAAAATCGAGCTATTCACTTTTTATTATCGTTATTATCGGAATGTCGCGATTAAATTTATGATTAAAGTCTTATCTGATATTAAAGCGGATATGTGCCTGAACATATTTTTATTTTAAAAATAAAATTTGTAATGTATTAATTTTTTCAATTTATTATTAATTAATATATTTTGCAACAGAAAGTACATACAATAGAATTTTCAATATTATTTATTATTTATTAATTAATATATTGACGTGATATCAGGGAGTAAAACCGAAGTATCGTTTCTAAAAATTAAAGTGGCGAAATATCGTCTTTCAGATATGTATTTTTTATTATATAAATCGTATGTTTGGACTTACGCTTTGATTCTGACGAAATGGGCTATTTCAAAATTGGAGCGTTGCTTTACTTCTCTTCCGTTTCCGAGTTGCACCGTTGCACGCGCAGTGAACCGAGTGCAAGGGCGCCATTTTCCTACGTCAGGCGTGCATGAATCACGGGAAACGTAACCGACGTAACGGACGCTCGCGCGAGTGTGTAACAAGTGTTCCTCTCGCGTATCGTTATAAACAATCAATTAGCCACTTATCGGGCGTTATTTGCACGACGGGCATCGCACGTTGGTCGCGACCGGCAGGATTCTCGCCATGGATAGATATTCCAGAGAGGTAAATACCATCGTTGCTCAGAATTTTCGTCGCGCTCGCTAACCTAACCTCCATTCGGCAAGGTGCTTCGGGATGCTCGCACAGTAGTTTCGATTTCACCGGGGAATTCCGCGATCGAGTCGAGTTCAGATTACAATAGATTGACATTCCGATGCCTCTCGAGCGGAATATCGAATTGTGCTCCGAAAAGAGTAATTATATCACTTGGAACGCGGTGCTCCACGCGCTCGGAAGAGGCATCGGAACAAAGAGATTATTCAGTAGCACGTTAAAAAAAGGAGTTTAGGCAAGATGGATCGATTTTTTATTTATGATTTGACTTAAAATCGCTTTGGAAGTTTGTAAACTTGTTCGGGAATAAAATCGAAATTGGAGTAAATATAGACTTGACGAGCAAGGGCCACGGCACATAGAAAAACTTGAGCAGTAATATTTTTCACAATAAATTCCTTACAGGCTACGTTCCGATATTCACTTCCAGTACTGAAAATCTATAATTTACGTCACATTTACTACATATTTCCAATGAATGGCAGTGAATAGCGGAACGCAGCCACGATAATTTAGATGCTTGCATCAAAGAGTTATCTATTTCGATTTAATTAGGGGAGGAGGGGTAGAGAATTTTAATGTTCAAACTGTGTTCGACAAAAAATACGACAAAAAATCGGCGTGCAGTTAGGTTGGAAATTTGCGTAGTTGGAAATATACAGAAAGTTTATTAGGCTAGCTCTCCGGTTGAGATCGTAAATGACTTTTTTCTGATTAGCAGTGAGACTAAAGGTCTATCCAGACAAACTTGCATAGGTGCATAACCATATGCATAAAGAAACGGATTGGTCTATTTCCTTATGCACATGCATATGGACCATTCAATTCTCTTATGCTTATGTTTATGCGTTATGCAAGTTTGTCTGGATTAACCTTTAAGCAGTAAGCAAACTGACCAATAGTTATCTCAAGTTTTCGAGGATACCTGACTGTGATTGGTCAATTTGCCTACCGCTAAAGTCTTACCGTTAAAAATTTTTTTTATGTGCCATGGCTTTAAGAGGTAGCGTGGATGTGATTGTGTGTGATAGAGCTGTCTAAATATCATTATGCGTGATTATCAACTTTTGGTTTAATTTAAATAGATCTCTAAACTTGATGTGTGCCAAAATGGTAGAGCGCTGAAGCAGTAGTGTGGCCAGTTTAGTAGCTTCGGCTGGTAGATGCGGCAAGAGCATGAACTTCCTGACTACTTAATAATCTGTGCCCTGTGGTAGGTAAAACGAAAGAAGGGCGCCGCACGAAGGCAACAAACGGCCGCGGAAGATCAGCGGAGGCGGAAGGAGGACAAGCAGGGCGGCGGAGCTGGCGTGGGCAGCGAGTCCAGCAACGAGAGCGAGGCGGGCTCCGCCAGCGACACCAGCGAACAGTTGAGCTCGATTCAGCCTGCGTCGAGAGTTCGACACACCACGGCCAATTCCAACAATTCCTCGGGAAACGGTTAGTTGACGTAGCTTCTTGTAAATGGACTTTCCGTCAGATGAACTAACTATTCACTTGCAGGGTAAGTGATCCGTGTTCCATGATCGTACGATTATTCCTCTTTCTCTCTAGAGATGTCGAGAGAATCAAGAGTGACTTGATGAAGCGACTTGACAAACAGTTTGAATCGCACTTGATTCGCGGGATTTAATTTCTGACTAAAGATAAGAAAGATTTCTAGAAACTCTTGGATCTTTGACGTTTTTTTTTCGAGTTTTTCGCCACATTTCAAATTTCATTAATTCGATCTCACGCACTTACCCTGTTCCCTGATTATATCATTACACCGAGAAGACGCACATACATTATATTTTTTAAGATATTACATACATGATGACAACATAAAACATTTGATAATACTGTGATACATTATTATTATGAGCTTTTTAACACTGAATGCATTTAGTAATAAAATTGCACGAAGATTAGAGTGATAACAGACTTGCTAACGAAGCGAGATACACGGTGTGTTATGCAGGAAATAACAAGGAACCTAGGAAACGTGGTAGGAGACCAAAGACTACGAAGAATAACGAAGTGGGAGGCGAGGACCAACAACCCCGTCAGAAGAAGGAACGCAGAGACGACAGTACGAGCGGCGGTAACAGCGGCCCGGGCGGAAGTGGCGGACGGGGTGATCCCTTTCGTAAGCCGCCGATATCGCAACTGAAGAAAACCGGCGAGAGTTGGCTGCAGGACGGCGCCTGTTTCGAGGTGGCTTCGAAGTTGGCTAAGTGCCGCGAATGTCGATGGACGCCGAACCAGCGCAATAAGAACCTTCCTCAGAATATCTTCTGCAGATTCTACGCGTTTCGCAGACTGCGTTATACCAAAAACGGACAATTGGCCATAGCGGGATTCAGTGATCCACACAAGGACGCGTCCGAGGTAAATTATGAAAATTATCAAGACGATCGACGCTCATGTTCGTCGTAATAATGTTACAGTTAAATTAACACAGTTAAATTGAGCCGAATAGTCTTACAATTTTAATTCGAGATGCATGCTCTCACATGAGAACTGTCGTTACAATGTTACAGGATGATCTTCGATTATGGTTACCGGGAAAAGATAGCCAAGAGACAACAGGAAAGGATGACAAATCCGAGAAAAATGAGAAGGACAAGGGAGATCGAGAGGACCTAGACTTAGAAACGGCTCATCGTTTGCTTCGGCAGGTTGGCGATCAATTCTGTGATCTTTTACATCAAGAGAAGGACGCTCTCCAAGAACATATGGCTGAAGGTAAAATTTTATTCGTTTTTATAACATATTTTTCGGAACTGACCTTCCACATTTTTCATATTAATCAACGCACACATAGCATACATATAATACAAATAAATAAAAATGTGTCGCACGTATTAATAAGACATAAGACTTTTATTAAAATTAATACCATCATCATATTAAACTACCTTTAATATACCTGATTTTTTATACATTATTTACACTGTTTCTCCCTTGTATATAATGCCCAAAAGATAGCATAGATGATATTTAATTCACTTTATCATTTTGCAAAATTATAACTTATTTAAATATCACGCTGCATGGTCGCTTGTGTCATTTTTTTTGTTCGCATGTTTTAACGCTTTGCGCATCGATTATGGTTACCTTTTGACAGCGAGTTCGGGGGTTGTAGACGGAACAGTAGCGTGGAAACGAGTGATCCAGGGTGTTCGAGAGATGTGCGACGTGTGCGAGACTACCTTGTTCAATTATCATTGGGCTTGTGGCAAATGCGGCTTCGTCGTGTGCATCGATTGTTATAAGGTAGGTTACATTAAATATATATGTATATATTTTTTTCTCAGTTAAATGTTGGGAATTACATGATGACAATAATTCAATTGATACAACGTGATATATCATTATAACACTTATCGAGCTTTTTAACACTGACAATTAATATAACAACTTGTAGTTGTTTTTTTCTTTTTTAAAGAAGACAGTTTATTAATAGAGATAATGTAAATATTTAGGGACGTAAAAATGGGACGGTCAAAATCTGGGGCGAAAGTGGAAAGGACAGGGATGACTTTTCGTGGCTTCTGTGCACGAATAGGCAAGTGCACGAACCGGAACGACTCATGCTCACACAGATCATCGCCGGCGACAGTCTTCTCCGACTGGGCCAGCGTCTGCACGAATGTCGCGCTGAATGGGGAATTCCGCAACACTGTGCTTGCTCTCTCATAGCCACATCGCAACCGAATGAGATCCTTCGAAATCTGATCAAGGGCGACTCCGTACCCGTACTCAATGGAAACGTGAAGCAGGAGATAAAAGAGGAGAAGAAGATAAACGAGTCTAATGGCGCATCGGAGAGCAAGACCAACGGCGAGGATAAAAACAGTCTGACTTGGCTGGCAACTGTGGCGCTAGAGAATCAGCCCGACAAGAATCAGGCGCTGCAGAATCAAGCCGATAGCGGACAAGAATCCAGCTCGGATTCGGATGATGCTGATAATTTCTCAACGTTGCGGGAGTTGCTCATAAGGCCGTCGCACAAGTCAAATGGTAGCGGCGGATCCAGATCGAATTCGCCTACGAACAATTCGGGCGGCGGCGTGAACAATGCCACACAGAACAACGTCGCCAAGTCCGGTAAGAAGTCGAAGATGGACACGCTCGACGAGGTAATATCCAGCGTGATTGAACACAGCGTGAAAAAGGAAAAGGATAGCGGCCTTGTTGATGACGAAAAGCCACGGGAATTGAAACACTTTGTGCGACGCTACAAGTGGATGCAGCGCGGTCGCGAGCCGTTACCGATCAGGATTATGACGGGGACGGAAAGCCAGAGTCTTTATCCGGACGTGCCGCACTCCTGGCTCTGCGACGGCAAGCTGCTGAGGTTAAGCGACCCGAATAATCCGAACAACTACAGAATATTCCAGGATCAGTGGAAACGGGGGCAGCCGGTGATCGTGTCGGACGTCGCTAAGGCGTTGGACATGAATCTCTGGCATCCTGACTCGTTTGCCCGCGATTTCGGCGACGAGAAGAACGATCTCGTTAACTGCATGACCGGCAATCTAGTGCCGAATCAGCCGATGCGCAAGTTCTGGGAGGGATTCGAGTACTATTCCAAGCGACTCAAGGACGAGCGAGGAAATCCCATGCTGCTGAAATTGAAGGATTGGCCGCCCGGTGAAGATTTTGCCGAGCTACTGCCGTCGAGATTCACGGATCTGATGAAGGTTCTTCCATTGTCCGAATACACACATAGAAATGGCAGGCTGAATCTGGCGAGTCGTCTGCCTAATTGCTTTGTGAGACCGGATCTGGGTCCAAAGATGTATAACGCTTACGGTTCCGCTCTTTATTCCAACAAAGGCACGACTAATCTTCATCTTGATATCTCGGACGCCGTGAACGTTATGGTATATGTAGGAATGCCAAAGGATGTTAATAACGAGGAAAGTCTCAAAGGTACGTATTTCTGGTATGTCTAATCTGACAGTCTTTACGGGATTGCATCCGTTTGCGTTGCTAACATTCTTGTCAAAGTATTAACTAGCTCTTCGAAAATTAATGATTGAAACATTTACAGCTAGGACAGAGGCGATGAGAGCGATAGACGAAGCAGGCTGTGATATTCTGACGCGTCGACGCGCTCGCGATGAGAAGGAGAAACCTGGTGCTCTGTGGCACATTTACGCAGCGCGTGACGCGGACAAAATTCGAGATCTTTTGAATGCCGTTGCCTTAGAACGCGGAGCTCGTTTGGAGCCTCACCACGATCCTATACACGACCAGAGTTGTTATTTGGATGGACCATTGCGGGAACGATTGTATCGAGAATATGGTGTTGAAGGGTAAGCGTCGCTTTTTACAACACATTCTCTCAAATAATTCTCTAAATAATTTGTTGGAAGACAGAGAACGTCGCTTGTAATAATTTTATTAAAACACTGTTTAATACAATGTTTGCTTATCTTATCGCAGGTACGCCATCGTTCAGTGTCTAGGCGATGCAGTATTTGTGCCAGCTGGCGCGCCACATCAGGTCCGTAATCTTCAAAATTGTATAAAGGTGGCCGAGGACTTTGTGTCGCCGGAGAACGTTTCGCATTGCTTCCACCTGACCCAGGAATTCCGTGCATTGTCCGACACTCATACCAATCACGAGGACAAGCTTCAGATCAAGAACATCATTTATCATGCCGTGAAGGACTCTTTGACCGTTCTAGCTAATGTTAAGGAGGAGACTCTCGCCAAGCTCGCCAAGGCTAACAATGAGACGAAAATGAAGGAGGAGACTTAGCCCTAGGTCCTCCCTGTGCGGTTGTAAGACCGATTGATAATTTCCTTGATTGGGTCTCGTCGTCCATGCGAGATGAATCACAGTCAGCGCTCCCGGACACAGCGAGACTGGCGTAACCGGAAGAATCTGCAGAAAACCACCCTTGCCGCAAAAAGATTGGTGGCAAAAAGAAGGTGCGAAGATTTGTTGTGATATTTGTGAAGAGTTAATGATTTTAATCGGAGGATTTGATTTGCGATATTGGCTGAGCCAATGAACATTAGTTGTACGTTGTTTCATTCGATTTTCCTTATATACAATTCTTTTCTGCTCTCCCGTTTTTCCCCGAGAAAAGATGCCCGCGGACATGAAGTCCGACGAGCTCTATTACGAGTGAAAAGAAAATCGTAACTCGGATCGCGCATAGGTAAAATGCCGCGTCCATTACTATTGTGATACCAGAAGGACTTTGGATCGTATACATTATTTGTAATTAATTATATCGTGCCTGTATCCAATACATACATTCATATGTACACATACACAAAACACACGCGTACATACACACGTACACTTGTCTATATTATATAAATGTAGATAATTGAAATATTATGTAATAATTTTTGCTAGCAACTACCAGAGATGATGAAGGAGAGAAAGGGGGGGGGTCATCTAGAAGTACCTTTGTGCAATTAGGTGTGACTATAAGTTATTATAGCTGGATCAGCGATAACTGTGGATCCATTTAATCGTCTGCTCTGATGATCTGGTGCTTTTCGGTATTTCATCAAAACCCCGGCTAGAGGATAGCCGATACGTATTCGCGTTCATGTCTTCTATGTTTCACGCGACAAGGGCGTAAAGAATAAAACACTGCCTAACTAATCGGTTCGACGACAATGGAAGAAACAGACCTTCTCGCATTTTTTTCCCCTTTCATTCAAGTAGACATTTCGTATTGTTCGTAGAACGACGTTCTCGTAGAGATGCTTTGTGTTTCTGTGGCGACGTATGTATCGGTTATGTGAGCGACGGGGTGCTACAAGTTTTTGTATGTCACTTCGAGTGTAAGGCATCAGAACAAAAAAAAAGTACGAGAGAAAAACAACTTGTCCGATATTAACTTTTTCCAAGATGTGACGGCGGATGTGAAATACCATTGAATTGAACAGTTTCATTGTTGTCGTAACCCAGTGACACTACCCGGCGTGTAACGGACGGGAGATACTAATAAGATGAACATGTTATTTTTGTCAAAGCGTATACAAACCGTCTATGTCGGACGATAAAACGAAAAGACAGCGACAATGTAATTGTAAACGAGATGCTGAGACACGCTAAATGAATAAAAAATTATTTACAGTAACATTTTGAAGGAAAAAAAATGGGGAAGGACGAAAAAAAGGGACGACTTTCGAAGTGCCAATGTTGAATTACGTGGGACGTTAAGTAATGCGTGCGTTGTATTGTATTCGTGTATGCGTAGGTAGAAAAGAGAATGAACGAAAAAAAAAGGGAACTAATTAGTCACGCAGAATTCGCAGAGATGACAGGGCCGAGTTCCTATCATTTCGTGACAGGTCGTGCGAACGACGAGGCTCTCCGCTATTCGCACTGTCACTGACGATTCGAAAACTGCTGTCGCTTCCGTTTCTTTTTCCGCCTTTTCGCTGAAATTCGCTTGACGGACGTTTCACGAGCGAGTGAATATGTACATGAGAACTTTTCGATATCCGTGTTCATATTTGTAGCATGCCACATTTGCAGGACGCAGCAGTTCTCGAATCGAACACAACGTCGTTAACGCGCCATTTTCGCGGCGGCCGAATCGTCAGCTAATCACGGACGAATAATCTCGACACAGATATGTAAAGAAAAAGAAAAGAGCGAAGAGAAAAAGGAGAATAAAGAAAAAAAAAGATCATTGGCATCCTGGAATCCGCAATTTCTTTGATCTCAACATTCGTCTAGCATACAACGACTTGATTAATATTTAACGAGTAAATTTTTAAACTATCTTAGTGTTGATAGGTAATGATTGTGGGAACTATATAAGCTGCAAACAAGCAAAAAGTACTAACTCCACAACGGCGGTGTTGTATAAAGTTCTAGGAAGACGTATTTCTGTGTATTATTGCTGCAAAACGAGACGCTATTGTTTGTCCTCTTGCTACGTGTATGTACATACATTTATATACATCCGTATATGTATACAGATATAAATACGAAGGCGGGGGGGGAAGAGTGTTTAGGACTCGTAACGATAGGCAGGTAAAAACGCAAAACCTTTTACGAAACACGAGAAGGTACACCTTACACGCGTAGGTAGATAGTTTATTATACCATTATTATAATTATTACATATTATCATTATTACGTTTAATTATTACGGAAAATACGATATTTAAATGTTGCTGAATATGAGAACACGACAAACGTGAACGCGCGCGAGTGTAAATGGCTAAAAAGGGAGAAGAAGAGAAGGTGGAAAAAAATATCCGAAGAGTTAACGCGTAGATAAACCGGGAAGCGAGCAAGGGAAAGAACGATAGAGAGAATGTGCGTGGATGAAAGAGAGAGCAAAGGGTGTAACTGATCGTGTGTGCGTGTGAGTGGTGGCGATCCAGTGAAAATGCGACGGAATGAGAGAACGAGGGGCCGTGTATTGGGGGCGGAGTGGAATGGACGGTATCTAAAACAATGTACAGACCTTCGACCTTCCGCAAGATGTGTGTATATCCACCCCCCCAGGAGAAAGAGAGAGAGAGAGAGAAAAAAAAAAAGAGTTCCGCTCTACCCACCCCTTTCCTCCCCCTGCGTCCCCTCTTGCAACCACCGGCCGCCCCCAGTCATAGCAGTTATGAACCGCGGGCCGGCAGGTCTGAGTATAATTTTTTGTACTGTGTAAATGTAAGAACCATACGTTTGAATAAGAAAAAAAATGTTTATATTACGAAACGCCGGCATTTGGATCATTTGCGTCTCTCACCCTCCCAAGACGGACACGGGGGTCGTTTGCAAGAATGACTTTTCTCCCCATCGAGGTCATCATTTGAAATTTAAATGGCTCCGGAAATTAAAGCTCCGAGATTTTGCGTTGAGATAGGGCGTTAAGAAGTCAAAGTCTACTCTGATAAAGTAGGAGTCTGTTATCTGTTCTCAAAGTTTCCATTCGCTCATGTTTTTTTTTTTTTTTTTAATCTGATTACGACCGCTTTCGACGCGTAGGAATAATTTTGGATTTTTCCGTTCAACAAAAATGTGTATTTTTTTCACGTACTGATTGTCGACGAACACTTTTTTTGTTTGAGGAAATAATTGTTTTATAATTGTCAACGCGATAAGTGCGTTTGATTTCGTTGAACAGAAATGGAATTAATTTAATTTTGCATTAAATTTGCAACATAACAATATTACATCATTGCAATCGAGTGAGAAACGGGCGTCTTGTCAGAATCTTCCTGCGGAGAGGGATTGGCGATTTATCAACAAGTGAAGACATCAAACAACTTGAAATTTATTATAATAATTTTATATTATAATTTTATCTCATATTACAGTTATTATCACTTAACGAAGAAAAAAAATGCGCATAACTAAGAAATCTTTATTTTCAAATATTTCTCAATTTCTCTTTCAAATTTCTTTACTAATCGTGATAACGCGTATCACGTGACGCTTTCGTATTTCTTCATTCTTATCTTACGAACGTCACGATCGGCTGACGCAAAATATTCGCATATATAAAAATTGTCACGAATTAAAAATAATCTTATCATTTAATTTACGAATCCATCGGGTTATTAATTAAAAAACCACGAGCGCAACGATCGCGCTGCGATCTGCATGCGCGCGCGCGCGGGCGCTCGCTCGCTCGCCTCAAGATGGCGGCGCGATCGCCGAGAGGAGGACTGAGGACGATCGAGTCGAGCCGAGGCCCGCCGAGCGGAGAGTGTTACAATCGTGTTCGAGTGCGTGCGAGACGGTGGAACTATGGTCGTGCGCCGGGGTGATTTACCGTTTCTCGCTAGCATTCCCGTCCCCGTCGCCGCCGCTGCCGCTGCCGCCGAGGGTGGCCGTGCTCTGTAAGGATTCAAGTGCGTCGGCGGGCAAAGAGAGAGAGAAAGAGAGAGGGTTGGTCTCTCGGTGCGTGAAAAGCGGTTCACAAGGATGCTCGTCCCTCTCGCGGACGTACGTGCGCGGCACCGGGACTACTGGATGTAAAACAACGAGGGCCTAGGGGAGCCTTAAACGACGCGGCCCCGCGCGTTCTCCGCTTCTAGTGGTACACGCCTCGTCCTCGCGGGCATGTCAGCGCGCTGAGCCCCAAAATGGCAGCCACGTTAACCGCCGAGCAGGAGCAAGTAAGTAAATCGTTTCGGAGCCTCGAGCGTTTCTCTCTCTTCCTCTCCGCAGGTAGATCGAGTACCGCGAGCGAGAGTAGCGAGACCCGCGCGGTTCGACACGTCGTGGCCGCGCGCCGCCGCCGTCGCCATTATCATCCTCAACATCATCATTATTGGCATCACCATCGTGGTCGTCGTCATGCACCTCGAATCACGAAAGAACAAGAAGAAGATATTGGATGGATGATGATGAATTGCGAACGACCACTCCGGCCTTCGCATTGTGCTCCAACTTGGACTGCTCGGAGTCTCCAAGGTCTTCGCCGGGCGCGAAAATGAATCCCGTGTGTCTCCACCGCGACCGTGGAAACGCCGCGATGCGTGAAGGTCGGAAATCGGATCGTCCTACCCGAGGCGGAGGCGGGAATCATCGTTGGAATCCGACAACTCCGGCAGGCGCGACTCATAAACGCGAGAACATAAACATCCATTTGCGTTCGTTTGCCCGTTCGTTATCGCTTGTTGCTTGGAACGTCAAGCGCGCGCGCGCGATAGCGATCGTAAACACGCTACGGAAATCGCCGTCTCTTCCGACGTCGACGGTGCGGCGCGAGTCTACTTCCTTCCTTATTGTTTTTATAACGAGGAGAGTCGCGCGAGCGCGGCCGGAAATTCGGGACGTTTCGAACATGTCGGGACGTTAATAATTCCATTTCCGGCGGGCCGGTTCCTTCGTGGGTACGCCCACGCGGCCCACTCTCGTTGGGAAATTTCGACTATTTTGAAACGCGAGCGCGCTCCGTCGAAACGACGCGACGCGCTCGGTCTCGCGCGCGCACGCGAGTCGATATTCCGCCGCTCCGCTCCGCTTCGCGTTCCGGCTTCCGACGCTTTAAAAGATTCACGCCGATGCACGATGCGATCGCGATGCACCCGGCATGCGAGTCGTTTGAATTCTACGTACGGGGCGCGGTCGAAATAAAACGTCGAGTGACGCTAAATCTCGCGGCGCAAAAACAGCTTCCTCCAGTTCCTGTTTGACGAGACGTTTATGGCTTATTAGAAACCTAATCATTGATTCTTCTCGGAACGCGATTAAAAGCGTTTACGTCGCCGATCACCGCAGAAGCCGTAGCCTATTCATTTAACAAGATAGAAAATTGCGGGAACGTTTACGTCGCCGATAAACCGGAGAAGCCTTAGCTGTTCGTTTAACAAGCTAGAAAATTGTATAACAAGATGGAAAATTGTATTCAAATTGAGAGCTACACGATATATTTTTTTGCCTCACGGCAAATCATTTTTTTTAACTTTCTCAATGAACGGAAACATTACTGATACAAACGCGCTAATTACGATCTGTAACGTCGTTCCTTTAAATAGCGAATTTTAATAATAGAAGCTCTACATTATTGATTTTGTAAGTATATTGAATTCTCATTGATTGTAGGGATGTAAATTTAGAGGTTTCGTTACAAAAGCAAGTTTTTCAAGCTGAAGAACTGGTCGAGGTGTATTTTAATGCCGGCAACGGCATAGATACGAGAATAATTTGTACGTTACGAACCTCCGATGCGAGCAAACTCGATTTGAAGCTTCGACGGAGTTTCTTGGTAACGAGATTTTCCCGCGTATCGATTTGCGGTGTTCAATTTCCGTCTGCCGCGTACATATTTTTAGCGAACCCGAGCTCTCGTCGCATGGAAACAGAGAGAAATTATAATCTCATTCGACAAAGGCAGTCACCTCCGTTCAAGGAGGTTAACCGAGCGACAGCGTCGATTAATTGATACCGATACCCTCGACCCTTTCTTCACCGTCGCAACTATATCACAGAAGAAAAGAAGTGTCAAATCGAAACTTATGTACTCAATAATTAAATATTAACGCGTTCATCGTTTCGTATATACGCAATTAATAATTTCATCAGAATTTCAACTTTTTTCTTGAAACCATGTGTAAAATGATTTTATTCAAGCGAGTTTTCTTCGTTTAACTCAACATAATATTTCAAGATTTCCACGTTGAAACCAGAGATATTTTCAAACCAAGAATCTTCTTTATTTCTGGGATTGCGTTAAAAAATCTCGCGTTAAACAATCGCGATTAACGTTCTCGTTTATACTTAAGTAAATCTCAACATGAGCGATTCTAAAAATGCGTTAGATTATTTATATTTCCTCTATTTTTTATAACGAAAATGATAATCTCAACCATATAATCAACTACGCATCGGCAACATTCGCTCCGTTCGCTACATTTCATTCGCGTCGCGTTTTCGGGGGCATGCGTTTCCAAGCCGTTCCCCTCGCGTTCTCGCATTGTTAATTTCAGGTTCGCTCGTTCAGCTCTGCCACGCGATTAATTCTGTCGTCGTCAAGCCTCTCCTCCCCGTTTAACGCGCCGGGAAAGAAATAATGTGACGAGGTCGGCGCCGCGTTGTCCGTCTCGCGTTTACGCGCGAGCGACTCGCGTGAATTAAAGCGCGAATTCGCGAGCCGTGGAGATGGGGCCCTACGGAGGGCTCTATCCGCGGGCATTAAAAATTCTCCTCGACTTCTCTCCGGCTGATACACGCGCCCGGCTGGCGCGGCGCGGCCCGTACCGCGGGTGCCACCGTGCCGATCCCCGCCGGCTGGCGCATAACGGAAATGACCGGTGGGGAGGTAGCCGGACACCGGAAGTCGTATCGGTAGTATACCCGGCGCGTGTACGTACGTGCACGCTCACGCGTCGCCGTCCACGGTCATTGCTCGTTTTAATAGCGTAAAAACGATATGCCGTCGACGTCGTCGTCGTCGCGCCCGCCGTTCATGCGCCGGCGTATCGGCGAGATCGACGTCGTCCCGTCTCGATCCCCCGTCGTCTTGTAATCTCGTGGTCCCTGTATACGAACGATAGGACGTCGATCGAGAGCTCGGCTCACGCGGGGGGGCTAATAAAAACCGCCCGTGGTTTCCGATTTGGGTCAAATGTTCTCTTCGACGAACCCGAATTATCCTCTATTCGATCGACTTTTTTTTCACCAGTGGTTAAGAGCGAATATTAGAACACACGCGTTTCTATTCGTGAAAGGAGGGAGATACCTCTTTCACATGCCTACGTCGGCGAAATTCGACGTCGGTGGTATTAAATTTCGAAATTCCTAAGTCGAACGTCTCCCTCTCTTTCTATTTTTTGCCCTTTTCTTTTCTTTCTTTTTTTTTTTTTAATTACAAAGTCATTACGTGCTGACGAACTGACAAGTCGACGAATATTCAAGATATGCACATGGTGCGTTCGCGTCGATCGGGTCGCGCTGATAAAGATTGCAATTCGCGGTTTCCTGCCCGCCGCGTCGCGAAGCGCCGGTTTTCAAGGTTGACATTGTGCAACTATGCAAGATGCTGAGCGATTGCGAGCGTTCAATTCTATTGCCCAATGCACATTTCGTTATCCGGCGCTGATTTCAGCAACGTGATAACGTATTTATAGAATAATTATGTTTACTTTTTGCTCTTGAGGCGAGTGATAAGAACGAAATAGAAAAAAATGAAAAAAAGTGTTTTCTTAAATGTCAGAGTACTAGCGTCGTTATGATATAAATAAATTGTTTTTTTCTTTTTTTACTCTATTATTAATACTCGTTTTTATCATAAATATTTTTATTTCCATGGAAATTATTTAAAGCGAGAGAAATATCAATAGGAGCATTATTGGCGACGAGAAAATTGTTAATATTGAAAGTATATACATCAATGTGTACGTTTAATAACGCAGGCATAAATATTGCGACTTATATTTACATAGAAAAATTTATCTTTATGTATATATATATAAAATTACAACTTATCTTTATATTAATTTTATAAATTTTTTCTCAAAAATCTCAAAAAATACATAAATACATGTACGATACTTTCTTTTCCCAGGCTACGAAAGAATTTATAGAAGCTGTGAATAGATGTAGAGCCGGTAGACGTGCTGGGCCAGTGTCCTGGAGCACGGCGGTCAAGTTTTTAGCGGCACGGAAGTTTGAGGTTCAACGAGCTTTAGCTTTGTACGAGCAGCACGAAGCTACTAGGAGGAGAGAGGGATTGGCAGTCCTGCATCCTACTCAGGAACCTTTACTCAGCGAACTGTACACAGGAAAATTTACTGTCCTGGTAAGACGAGAATACCAATTTAACGCAGATGCGTTTTGTTTTGTCGTCATTGCTTGAAGCGAATTAATGTATTAAATTATTTCAGCCATCAAGAGACGCAACAGGTGCAGCGATAGCTATTTTCACAGCGCATTTGCATCTTCCACAGAATACTACACATCAAACAACTCTGCAAGTAAGTTTTACAAAGTGCATTCTTAATGCGTCAATTAGGAAAGAATTATACTTCTTTATAATTGCAAACGTCTAGTTTTCTATCTAGAGAAAACAGGTTCTTGAAACTTATATTATTAAAGTAACCAGTTTTCTTATCTTTTTCAGGGTGTTGTATATCAATTAGATGCTGCCCTTGAAAGTGCAGAAACGCAGAAGCATGGACTAGTTTTTATTTATGACATGTCTGACAGCAAGTATCAGAATTTTGATTACGACCTATCTCAGAAAATTCTGACACTTCTGAAGGTAAGTCGGTGAATGTATTTTAGATATTAGTCGGAAATTATGCATGCGTAATCTGTCCGAAATAGACCGCGAAATCTGATTTAACTTTAGCATTTTCGTTAAAAATAATGAAAACTATGATTAAAATATACAAAATATACAAATGATTAAAATATACAAAAGCATTTAAAAATATGAACATGAACGTAGAGAAGATAAATTTTCCACGAATGTATGGAGAAATCGATGAAAAATTGTTTGAGAAACTCGCGAAAAGATGGGAATAAAAAAAGAAGAATGGACAATCAACTACGCGTGACTTACCTAAATAATCAGGAAGCGCGAAGTTCCTCTTGTTCTCACCAAGGAGATATATAATATGCGTCAAGAATTTCTCGACTTCCTATTGCAAAATTGCCGCACGGAAACGTTGTGCAAAATCTCGCGTTTTCTTTTTTTCCCCCGCATTTGGACACGACGAATCGGATTAAACGATAAAATAGCAATGTCACCGATATTTTCTCTGTACATTACGCATCGATTTGCACACCGTTTTCTCTCGAATTATGCGTAATACTTTGTGCGACATGATTAAGCCGCGTAACGACTTAACGTTCGTCCAGACGAGACGGAGCACCACTGCCGCTCGGAGTTAGAAAGCGAGAAAAGATCGTGATCGAGAGTGAGAGGAGAATGAGTCTTGCGGCGTATGTCCATTATGTATAACGATACACGGTCTCATTTCTCTACTCCCGCCGACGTGACAGAGGTGCTCTGTCACGCATAAATGTCGGATGCATGAAAAAAAGCTATTCGTTTAGATTCTATCTCGAACAGCGACGTGTAAAGGCCGGTTGAAATAATGCCATTTTGCAAATTTCTAAATAAATGTTATTGCATTCTGCATATTTCTACATGTCATAAACCATGAATATTATAATACAAGTTTGTATATATAATTGGTTTCTCGAAAATATTTTCTCACGGATGTGAAAAAGAGCCCGAGACCTAATTGCGAAGAGATACGTATTATCATATTTGTATAAATATACAAATATCGTGTTATTAATCGTTAGAAACTTCACTTCACAGGATATTGTCTTTCTTTTCAATGTTAATTGCGAATTTGCAAAGTGGCACGGCGTTATACTCACGGCCTGAATTTCTCGGAGACAGATGTCTTGTACCAGAGTGACGAATTAAGAGCGGCGGACTTTTCGCGCTCCTGGAAGAGAAAAGAAACCATTTCTCCGAGAAGGAGCGTAATAATTATGCGAACCACATGGGTACAAAGTGCCATTTAGCGACGTCTAAGTGCGTGGCCCGATTAACATTCACGTTGCGTGCAATTTCGTCCGGCGTAGAGTGCGGCATTACAGTTATTACCGTCGCTGAAGTTAACCCAATTAGTCATCGCCGGTCGGTCGAAATAGTCTCGTGCGTTAACGCTTTGATGCGGTCAGCCCACTTACGTAAAAAAAAATGGTGTCATACGCGACGTAACCGATACACGTGACTCTTCCGAGTGCAAGCGTCACTTTAATGCCGTCATTAGATACGAATATATATTATATATATATACACACACGCGTGACGTTCTTTTTCTGACTAACTTTCACGTCATCGATCATTCCTGCATGATTTAATCGTGCCTCGTCGTTCTCAAAGGATAAAAATATTTCCAATCCTCTTAGCTCGCGTGAAGCTCCTTTGCAAAAATATTCTTTTTCCCCGAAGACGTCATACCTGCTCGTTACGTTACGTCGTTAATTGATAATACGTCATAGCTTCGGTTTTTTTTTCTTTTAGATTCCTTTCTCGACGAGCCGCAAATTCCGCGTTTAGCTCTCAGCACGTGGATGTGCGGCTCAAAGAGCGGCGAGACGCTTTAAGGGCGTTCACGCTTCGCAAAAGGTGGATTATACGCGATTACGCGACGAAGCGCGTCGAAGTAGTGCGTAAGGGTATGACTTTCAAAGGTTTCCTCGGAGGAGACTTCCTCTCTGCTAACGACGTCATGTATCGTTCACGTAATCGTGGATAAAAAAATATTGAATAATCCGAAGAGGCGATCGCAGACGGGGTCCACTCGTCTCTTTTTTTTTTATCTCTCTTACCACCGAGGAGGATATTATCGTCGCTCGTTATCGGGAGAGCGTGAAGGTGCGAAGGACCTTCACGCGTCACGCAACTTAATCGGATCCTAATCGCGCGGTGAACCGTACTTCCAAGGTGCCCCGGCTTGATAATGGCCTTTGCAAAGGTTTCAGTGCGCGGTGACATTTGCGCCCGCGTAATTATAGTCGTAACAGTCGAATTCGATATAGGCGTTGCGCGCATCCTGCGCGCTCACGATTAAACGGACGTGTCTTTCTCTCTCTTTCTCTCTCCGTGGTCGCTATTCGCAATTTTATGCTCCGCCAGATTTAATCGCATCTGTCGAGCGTTGACGAAAAAAAAAGAGGAGACGATATCGCGCTACGATGGCGCGAAGCGAAGCGTCGACCGATAAGAGAGTCGGGATAAGGGAAACTGTGACGTTTTCTCATTTACGAATTGATTAATTGTATCGAGAATCGAAACGCGAACTTTCTCCTCCCGTCGGCGTGTCTTTTTCTAACAGCAGTCGTAATTATCGATCACCGAATAATTCTATGAAACTTTGAGGACGGTTTTTTATAGTCCGATCTTATATATTCAGAATTGCCTTAATTGCCTCAGATATGTTAATCGGTCTTAAGATTTTATCCAGCCGACGAAACGAGCGTGTAACATCTTGAGATACCTGAGACGATCTTAACGTTGACTGCTGTGGCGATCAGGTGCTATGAGAATATTTTAAAACGCTTGTAAGAAATAAATGTCATCTAATATAAAGTTTCGAACATAAATAGATACAATGTAAAGTAAAAAGTGTGCTGTTTTCTTTTAATATAACATCCCTGGGGATGTAATCTTATTTATACAAAAATTATATTGCGCAATATATTTTATTATTAGATGTTTATATGTCTGTATGTAATTAAAATTTTGTGGTGTACATAGAGTTAGACTCATACAATTCGTTGGGCGGACAATGTATTAAACGAAAGCTGAAACCAGCGAAACTCTTGCAATTAATTAGTCAACAGTTATACGCGAAAATCTCACGCGAGCTTCACCCAGGCCGCGGATTTCCCGAGGCATCGGGAAATTCCAGCGATCGACCGGAAGCCGCGTGGTTGAGAGACACTGGGGGGCAATACGTCACCGCGTATACACGGTTGCTGCACCTCCGCTGCCGGCGGTAACGAGAAAGAGAGAGAAAGAGGGAGGGAGAGAGAGGGAGGGAAGGAGAGAAAAAAAGAAATTCTCGCGTAAGGGATGTCGGTGGTGAAAAGAAGGGGTCGCGTGTGGGGTGAGAGAGCGAAGCGACGGCGCGTCGCGTCGCGTCGCGGCGCATGCGTTCCCGCGGCGCTGCTCCGGATAAACCGTCGGCGACGACGCCGACGTCGGTCAGTAATCGTCGTGACCCCCTTGCGACCACCACGGTTCGCATTTGGACACGGTATACGGACGACCCGATTCTACTTCCCCTCCCGGCCCCGTTCGTGTTTCCCTCCCCCGTTCGTTCGATCGCGTCCTTGTTCGCGTGCGAGGCCAGCCAGCCAGCGACGTTTTTACACGGCGACGTCGCTCCGTTCATCTCGACGACGACGACGACGACGGTGACGGCGGCGGACGACGCTCCTCCCGCGCCGGTGTTACGCTAATCTCGCGCTATCGATTAACCCGACCGAGTGCCGGCAGTGAGATTTCGAAACTACCTGGAGGATTCGGCGACGAAGGCAGGCCGGCCGATTGATTATGCCCGCGACATCAGCCGCGTCGTCCGGTGGCGGCCGCTGCCTCCGTTGCTGCTCACGGTAAATTTCGACTGTCAGCCGAGGATCGATCGACCGTGTTCCGTCCGACGGGAGACAGCCAATTTGTCGCGCGGCGCGACTCCTCGCGTCTCGCTCGACGATACGGTGCGCGGCCGGAATAATAAGCGCGCCGCGCGCGCGAGAGACTCCGCGGGCTAATTCGAGACGCGCGCGCGCGAGAGAGAGAGAGAGAAGCGAGCGATCCTAAAATTGTAACGCAAGCCTCGCGGAACGCCGCGTCGCGGACGTGATTTCTTCCCGGAACACGGAATCGCGCCAGTGCGCCCCGTCCTCGTTACGCGCCTCGCGCCTCGATGACGTTTATTGTATACGTAGCGGCTGTTACGTGCCACTGACGACGGTAGTGGTGGTTTGGTGGTTGGTGGTGGTGTTGGTGGTGGTGGTGCTGTGCTGCTGACGTCGTTGGCGTTACGGTACTTCCGCCCTCCGGTCCGTACCCCGTGGGTTAAGTTACTCGGTTTCCTGCGTTTTGTCCGCGTTACGAAATACCTGGGGAAACGCGAAACGCGCGCGTTTGTTCGCTTCGGTATTACGTCCGACGGCACGTCCGCCGATTACACGCGAAAAGCTCGCGCGAGGAAAATGTTATATATGTATATACATTATATGTGTATATCTCTCTTTCTTTTTCCTTGGGGACACTCTCCGATTCTCCGATAATCTGATTAAAGGGACGCGGTCGCGCTTTTTTCGCACGAAAATCGTTTTCCCTCCGCGTCGCGTACGTGATTCTATAGTTGGCGGCCGATTCGCCAATGTGCGATATATGGCCTGTTCTATTATTGCGATGTCTTTGAAAGGTCGAGCAATCGTTGCAATCGTGTTTTTAGAAATTATTCACGCGGAATCGTAGGATTCGTGCGCGATACTACCTGCTAGCGTTCTCTCGTTATCATAAAAAATTTGAAAGTTTCCTCCGATAAACGAAGGTTTTACATCCTAATTCAATGATAGCGAATTTATAAATTAAAGTCGATTATTAAATTAGAAATCATTTAGTTTATGTTTAATTAATGACAATAATTTATGTTTATTTAGGTTTAATTAACCCTTAAATGCCACACTTCTCAAGAATCTCGTAAATGAAATGAGGGGTCTAAAAGACCCCAGCATGAAAAATGTCTCCTTACTCATTGATTTTTTAAATCTTTAATTATGAAAATTATTTTCAATGTTGTTCAAGGCTTAGAAAAGAGAATAAAATGCTTATATTGTTAAAATTTCAATTTCAACATAGTATAAAAAATTAAGTAGAATACTGCTAAGTGTACAAACGGGTAGGTCAATCACTCAACTATCATCAATGGGAGCATGAGCTCCATTTTTGGCAAGAACATTTGAAAATATATCATTGTAAAGGGTCTGGGGTCCGCTGGACCCCAGGGGGCATTATAGGGTTAATAATAATAGTTTTAAACATTTATTAAGAATTATAAATTAATAACCATCTCGATTGTAATAAAATATTTAATTATGAAATAAGAATGATGCCGCATTAATATGGAATTTCTTGCACGCAAAAAACATTACTGCATAAAGTAAACAAATATGTAAAATTGGTATTAATTAGATTTTTTTATTTTTTTACTTATTAACTTTAATTTTTTAATCTGCTATGACTGGATATTGATAGAATCTTTATCGGGGTATTTTTTCTAATTTGCTTAATGAAAAATGCCGGCAAATTATTCATGTTTTGTTCGCATCAATTTTTCAGGGTGGCTACCCGGCAAAATTAAAAAAGGTTCTGATAGTGACGGCGCCGTTGTGGTTCAAGGCGCCCTTCAAGATCCTTCGATTATTCGTTCGTGAAAAGCTGAGGGACCGCGTGTTCACAGTATCCATCCCTCAACTGACGTTGCATATCCCACGAGAATCATTACCCCATCGTTTAGGCGGCACGTTGGAGGTACAGCATGAAGCATGGCTGCTACATTGTCTTAAATCCATGACGAACCGAAGCGGGGGTGAACTGTGTGAGGTAAGTGCTTGATGCAACTTTAAATTCGCCGTAAGTCATTCTTTTCGCCCTTATAACGCGCGAATGTTGAAGGGATTTAAAATATAAAAAATTCTGAAACTTTTATTTAGACATACTGACGTAGAAGTAAAATATTTTATTCAAATCACATAATTATTAGAAGGATTCTATCATTAATCGAATGTTATAAAATTACAACAGTTCTTATCTCATTTGTATATTTATGGTGTTTTAGGTCACCCCAAGAGTAGATACTCCTGTGTCGCCCACGGCGAACGATAATACAGTTCATCAAAATCCGAATGGAACTACAACGCACAGTAGTTCGACTAGTCCTATAATCGATAAGAACAAACAAGTGAAAAATGGCGTGTCGAATATCGGCGACATCGAGATCACCGCGAATGCTGACGCTTGGATCGGAACCGACGAGGCGCCATCCCCAGTTCAGCCTCCGTCCTCAGCTAGTTCTGGTTTTAGCGACGATGACAGTCTTCACGGCGACCCTGGGCTTCAAGCCGTCACTATGGAGCAATTTATAGCGGATATGCATTCGCGAGGACGCGCTGGTCTCATAGAAGAATACGCGGAAATTAGACAGAGACCGCCGGATGGTTCATTTAATAATGCAAAGTGCGTAATAGCAATATTTTGCGTTTGCGCGATACATTAGTCTCATTCGAGTTAATTAATATATCGTTTTGTCGGTCGTTCCAGGTTAAGGTCTAATCAATCAAAGAATCGCTACACCGATGTGCTTTGTTACGACCACAGCAGAGTCTGCCTTTCACAAATAGACGGAGATCCGACGTCTGATTACATAAATGCGAATTTCGTTGACGGTTATAAGCAGAAGAACGCGTTTATCAGTACTCAGGGTCCTCTTCCGAAAACCTGCGGTGATTTCTGGAGGATGGTTTGGGAACAGCAAACATTAGTCGTCGTCATGACTACGAGGTAAATTGTTTTACTTGTGCATTCTTAGAAAATTTGACTACATCTAGCATGATATATAAAGTTCTGAACAATTTTCATCATATTTTGTGTTGGAAACTTTATACATAACTTTATAGTTTCACATAAATGTATTGTCCTTGTTTCAGAGTGGTGGAAAGAGGGCGTACAAAGTGCGCACAGTATTGGGGTCCGGAACCAGGTGATGAAGTACAAGCGGGTGGCTTCACCGTGACCACCCTCGAAGTCGATACAAATCCAGATTACACAGTATCCATGCTTCTTCTTACAAACAATAAGGTATGTACTTTGACACATTTCTTTTTGCTTGATTATTAAATGTTATCGTTTCTTTATGTTGCATTTGTCTTATTTCAGACTGATGAGACGAGGGAGGTTTGCCATATGCGTTACACAGTGTGGCCAGATTACGGTGTTCCTCAATCGGCTAAAGCTTTACTACAGTTCTTGTCCTTAGTCAGGCAACAGCAGAGTAAATTACTCGCTAGCAGGGGAGACACATGGGCCGGACATCCTCGAGGACCACCTATAATTGTACATTGCAGCGCTGGCATCGGAAGAACAGGTAGAGAGAAGCTTTTTGCAACGAAAATTATAATTTAGTTGCCAGCGCTGTTCTTTCCCGAGACGTAAAAATTTTAAGGCATGTGATTTACATTAAATTGGCGGGTTTCCAGGCACATTTTGCACCTTGGACATTTGCATATCGCGACTAGAGGACACTGGAACCGTAGACATACGAGGAACTGTCGAGAAGATCCGAGCACAGAGGGCCTACAGTATTCAAATGCCAGATCAGTACGTCTTTTGCCATAGTGCTTTGGCGGAATACGCACTTTCCAAAGGGATGCTCAGTGCGCAGCATCTCTCCATGTTACCTCCACCGATCGAAGAGGATTCTGACTAAGAGAGTAACGAGTTCTATCATGTACCGGATTGATGTTCTTCCTGAGTATGCGTATATATATATACACTATCCTTAAAATAGCCTATTTCTACCTTAAACGACTGAAAGTTATTTTTTGCTATCGTATCCATCGATGTAATGATTGACTTCTCGCTATTACGTCAGTCTTAAATTATAAAATTTCCTATGAAGCCGGAAATTGATCTTTCTTTTTCAATGTCAAGTAAGCGAACAGAGAATATTACACATTCCTGCTCTTCGTGCTCTGACAAATTTTATGTAAAGGTGCATCAAAAGGCACTGATCAAAGAAATATTTTACTAGTATAAAAATCTGGCACAAACATTTTTGGATCCTATTTTAACTCTCTCAAATGTAAAATTACAACTTAAATTCTTTAAGAGTTAATTATCACGAAATAAAATCTAATCACAAAATTAAAAATTTATACTTGTCATGTAGCCTAAATATTTTAATTTATTATATCTATGATATATTATCCTATAATCGATGAATTATAATTTTTTATTTTTGCAACAATGATACGGAAATGAGAGATTTTTAAACAATTTGAGAGAGTTGAATTGTCGATCTTGCTGAAAGAGAAGGAACCGATAAATATAAATATATATATAAAACTTCGAAAATATATGAAAAATATAAATGTGATTATATACATTATATAGTTCACAAATTATTACAAATGTGGTTTGACAGTGGCCATGATATAGCCACAATTATTTAAGATTTTGAGATTTAGAAGTATTATAACATACGATAAAACGGCTTCTGCCTTACGGAAATGTAGATTATTTTAGAAAGTAACCAACATATTGATAGATGTTTTTGGGTAACCAAAGATTATCTGTTGCACAAATTTAGAAAACCGAAATTTTTTAATGTACGTAAAATTTGGTTATATATACAATCGCGCGGGAAAAATTCCGTTTTACAGGGATTAATAATCAGGGATCATGTTGTAGATTAAATAATTTCCGACGCGACTAAAAATGACGAAGCCTAACAAGTACAAGGCTTTAAAAATTAAATTAAGCCTTTACTTTAGTCGAATAAACTTCGAGTTCATCCGATAACTATATGTATGCATATAAATATATGTTTATAAACACACATATACATATAAGTATATGTATAGTTATACATATACATATATATACATATACGCTTCATTATGAAAATCGTAACGATTAAAAATCGTGTATACTTGCAAGCATCAAACGTTTGAAGACATTTTAAAATCTAGGTTTAAAAAAAAATCTCATCACACGATGACTATGTAAATTTTACCTTTAACGGATACTACAATTTAATAATAATAATTAAGAAAAAGACGCAATTGACGGAATACGAAAAACAGTTTAGACGCGTTATAACATTCTAGACGATACGCGATTTAAATACAAATTAATTTTGTATGTAACTATGACATAATTATTCTTCAGATATGTCTCATACTTCCAAGGTATTGCGAGATGCGTGTCTTTGGTTCTGTGCGATGTTCATCCCGATAATATGATCAAGAAGCACGCAAAGAGTTTCAAATAGTGCTACTTCGAAATCTCTTGATTGTTTTTTGATTATGATTATTACGAAGTTTAAGTGTGTACGTGTAACCTTGGATATATGTTAAAAACGTTGTGTCCGATCTGTGTTACTCGTATCCAATAAGTACTCGAATCGTTTATCCGTTGAATGTGTGCGAGACCTCTGCAAGGAAGCTGCGACGTAAGCGACGAGTCTTCTTGCACCGGTCGCTCGATGTTTAATGAATTACGAACTTTATCGTGGGCTATTAGTATTGTAAAGCATTGTGATAGTCGGTAGAAGTCTCCGAAAATTTCGTATCTCTATTCTTCCAAGTACTGCCATTGCCAACTACGCTAATTTCTATTTCTAATCACGCTGAGCTAAATTTTTCGCGGCATAATCACAGTACGGCCGAACCGCCGTATATATATATAATATCTACTAACTGATTTGTAATAATTTATTAATATTGTGTTAAGACACACGGTATATATAGTGACGTAATTGGTATCAGACCGATGAACGTGTGTAGGATGCGGAATCCCTTGACTGGGATTTTTCTATTTTCAAGTACACAAGGTGTTCGGAAAAACGTGCTTTAACGCGTTGTAGTGAAAAAACGTTTGCGGGAGATCAATCGCGAGCGTTTCGGTTTTCCGCGAAGTTTTCCGCTGTGGCGTTTTATAAGACGAATTTCCGAACACCCTGTGCGATTCTATAGTTTCACGGAGAGCGTCGTTTAAGGTCTTATTTCGGCAGAACGGTATAACAAATGAATTGTTGAAGAACGTCTTCGACTTTTATACGAAACACGTAGGCGCTGTTGTACCGCAAGGAAGCTTAGTCACGTTTAAATAAGTTAACGATACTTCAACGTAATATTTATAAGTTCCTCCTACTCTTAGGTTACCTACAAAGGGCATATTACCGATATTGATTATCGTTTACTACGTTATTACGTTTACGTAATCTATTATTATTATAATCAAGCATTATCATTTTTGTATTTATCCTAGCTATTTATTGTATCAATTGGTTTCAATCTCCATGTGATGTATATATACGCACATAATTATCATGTATTTCTCAATCTCCATTCTTAACAGTGGCATTCGTTTAGCGTTCTTTCTTTTCATCTTTTTTTTGAGGGGGGGGGTCTCTTTTGTACAAAGCGCAAGAAATAGAAATCTAATTTGGTGTTCGACCGTCTCGATTAAGTGTGAATGTACAGTGCGATTTTATAGCTATTTTTGCGTGTGCCTCCCTCGTATCGTAATCTGTTAACGACGTATCAAGCGACGAACCCGTATGCGTCAGTGAAAGTTGTCAGAACGGGTACCAAAGTTTTTCGTAACGGACTCACGAACGGAACGATTAATTAACGCGCGGAGTAAATAAACCAAGTGTAATTGTACCGTAATATATACGCGAACGCACTCGAGTGCGTGTGTTAAGCTTTGGAACTGAGGGTAGGTAGTCTAAAGTAATCGACTCAACAGTATTATACCTCATTAAATATTCGCGATTCTTCTCTTCTCGCTAAATCGATTTTCTTTGCCGGCGTAAGTCCGTCGGATAGTTGGGGTTTATCGTCCACCTTTCCCTATGAATGCAAATAGATGACTTGAACGAGAATAAAGATGAGACTTAATCGATCGTCACGATAAAATCTAAGCGAAAGAGGTTCATTAAGAGGGGAGGATGTAAGAATATGCTAATGCTAATAATATGCAAATGTTACGCGAAGTGGACTGTAAACTCGCAAACTTCCGATATTCCGACTTTCATTCCTTCAACGCGTTTTAAGTTGCGAACTTGTACGATTGTTGCTACGTCTTGCGATTTGTTTCGGTAATTTGCACCTGTAACGTACTCGCTATTTGTAGACCTTGAGGATTCGTCATCGATATTACACGTCTCTGTATCAAGGAATATTGACGGAAGGGGGTTGATATAATCGACTAATTATTTAACGCGATAGACGCCCATTTTTGTATGACAATTAATGCGAAAAAAGCGGAAAGAGCTGCAATAGACAAAGCCAATGTTTTATGTGTATATCCGGTGTATGCAATACGTGTCATAATAATTAAGATTCTCGCGAGGTGAAGAAAAAAATTGTTAAAATATTATGAAAATGGAGAAAGTAAAGCAGCGAGGGAAAGAAGAAAAGAAAAGTGTATATAGAAATGATATGACTTTAAATTACTATCGCACACATTGTATCTAATTAATAATTATTTAATATATTGCAAATATAAATGGTACAAATTCTGGTGTTTTATTGTTACTTAAAAATTATTTCTCATAATAGAAACGCGCGCGCGCACTAAGTATGTAAATGTATGTACATACTTATTGTTTTTTGCAGATATTCGTATCATCTATATCATCCTTTCTAATTATTAACAAGATTATTATTTAAGAATTATTTTTTAAGAAAGTAAAACAAGTCAATTTTTTTAATCAAAAAAGACATTTAATATAACTGTTATAACGAATATACAAATGAACTTAATAAAACTTGCAATTCCAAACACGTGACTGTGCGCGCACACGTGTATATGCAATTCTATTTTTAGAATCTAACTTTTAAAATCTGAGTTTCTAATAAAGTTTTAAAATCCAACTTTCTTATTAATCTAGATTAGATTACTTCTTCGGTAGTCTCCAACTTTCGACTTAAATATTTGACCATTGCGCTGATTGCGCGCGAGACTGTGAACGAGTGAATGTACATACTCAATGTAGCATGGGTCGCGTTCAGCAGACCAAGCTGCTTAGTAGCAGTCGCACGTGATTGGCTCTTACTTTTAGAACCAACCAATCAACGCATAGTGTTGATAAGAAGAACTAAACGGTTGTGTTTGCTGAACGTGCTCATCGTGTATAATGGCGGCCGAAGAATACGACAGCCAATCAAATTTTGGTCCGGAACATTGCGCCACATTCAAATGTAGTATTAGTCAAGGTACAGTCGCCGCCAATGATTCCTTTCCTGTGATAAGGGGAAAACATAAGAATACCTCAGGAAAGGAATCATTGGCGGCGACTGTATGTGACAAGAATGCAAACAAAATTAAAAAATTTGTAAATATAATACAAAAACTCATAAATCGATAAAAATATGTAATACATAATAAATTGACGGTAAAAGAACAATTTCTACATTGATTAATAAATAGTAAAGGAAGATTAAATACGGCGAATAAGAAATTGAAAATTATTAATGATGAAGTATACAGAAATAATTTAACTTGTATTGCAAGCTGTAAGAACAATTTTCCTGTGACACTATCTTATACATATATTTAAAATCGTCTTGAGTTTATTATAAGATGCTATAGTAAAAAACGTATTCGTTTCATAACAAATAATTTCAAGAATAGGTACCCTGTCTTCTACCATGGAAGGAGCAAGGGACCATGTTCCTTCTCGTATCTCGGACCAGTTTCTGATTGGTCAAAGAGCTACACCTTCTAAAAAGGGCCATCTACAATGGCCTAGTTTACATCGATCGTTTGATACGCGTACCAAGTATGTACTATATCTGTATCAAATTCGTATCAAATCTCGGTTTACACCGGGATAACCCGATATTTTATACGGATTTGATACGGAATAGTACTTGGTACGCGTATCAAACGGTCCGGTGTAAACTAGGCCAATGAGTCGCAGTCGTAAAGGCCCGGACACACTTCTGCACAACGCATAATGCGTAAAGCGGGGACCACACACTTCTGCACAACGCATAATGCGTAAAGGCCATTGCACGTAACAAAGATTTAGCCATAATCGTAAGGCCGTAAAAAAATAAACCAATCACAGTCGATTATTCTCTTCGTGCTCGAAGAATAATCGAGTGTGATTGGTCTATCTTCTTATGACCTTACGATTACGACTAAAACTTTGTTACGTGCAATGGCCTTAAGCATAAGAAAATTGATTGGTCCATACACATGTGCATAAAGAAATAGACCAATCAGTTTTCTTATGCTTACGTATTATGCGTTATGCAGAAGTGTGTGCTCCCCGCTTATGCTAAGACTCCGTAGACGCGGAAACGCCATGCGGCAGAGTGCGTTGACCAATCACAAATTTTGATTTTGCCGCAGGCAACTTGCGGCAGCCTTCTGATTGGTCAACGCACTCTACCGCACGGCGTTTCCGCGTCTATGGAGTCTTAGCATTAGCATTAAGCATAAGAAAATTGATTGGTCTATTTCCTTATGCACATGTGTATGAACCAATCAATTTTCTTATGCTTACGCATTATGCGTTGTGCAGAAGTGTGTGCTCCCCGCTTAAGAGTCGTAAGAAATTGACCAATCACAGTCCATTATTCTCCTTGCGGTCGAAGAATAATGAACTGTGATTGGTCAATTTCTTACGACTCTTGTGACTGCGACTCATTGTAGATGGCCCTTTACATCACGTGGCTATGTACATACATACATATGTACTACCTCTGTCTCTACCCTCTCTTTGTTTACGAAAGGCTGTTAACACGGAAAGTGCGCGGGGGCCACGAGGTGCGTCGTGTAAATACTGTAAATCGCGTGATCGACGCGCCTGGATCGCTCTGAGGATTAATTCTAACCTATCTTAACCTACGTACAAAATTAGGGTTAAACATGTCACATCGTGATACTGATAATAACAGTATGCACAGCTTGCTGGACGAGAAGATTATTGACCTGGAAAATTGTAGAAAACTAGTGAAATCATACATTGACCTGGTGAGCATCTTCAGGGTAAAATCGCCTTACCTGCCATCGCAACCTTAAAACCCGTTGTAACCTTTACCTTTCAGCACCTGTACAGTGCCGCCTTGTTCTGGGCCGACAAAGTGGTCTCACTGAGCAATGAGGATCCAAAGGATGTGTGCACTCTGGCGCAATGTATGTATCTCATGAAGCAGTATCATCGTGCTGCGCATCTCATAAAGAGATATGGATTGGAGAAGGTAATTGTAATAACCTCTCATCTCCCCCATACGATACACAGACGCTTTTTCTCGTTTTGTGATACGTTGGTCTTTACATCTAATTTGTGATGAATTAAATAATAATTTATTGATACAGAGCGACGTAATGTGCCATTACCTAACTGTGAGGTGCCTGCTGGAAGCAAAGGAATATAACGACGCACTTCAAGTAATTAATGAATCCGAAATATGCACAAACATAACGCAAGCAGGTATCACCTTCGCTGATCGCACCGACATTTTTCAGGATGCTCCAAAAAACGTATGAGTACATTTATATCTATACATATATGAGTATTTATAACAATGTCATACATAAATTTGTATTATGTCATCCCAATCACTATATAGTTATATTGCTATGTTAGAATTTAAAAGAATTAACAATAACATACAATATTTTTACAGGTTCAGAGCTCAATATTATACGTGAAAGGAAGGGTATATGAAGCTATGGATAATAGAGCAGTGGCGACCGAGTGCTATAAGCAAGCCTTACAGTGCGACGTTTATTCATACGAAGCATTTGAAGCCTTGGTGCAAAATCAGATGCTTTCAGCTTCCGAAGGTATATTGATTCTGTCAAATATGGAATAATTTTCTTAAATATTTGTTAAATACGTATATACGTAATTGTTAACTTAGAGCGAGAACTGTTGGAATCTTTACCATTCACCGAACAATGTACGAAAGGCGAAGCGGAACTCTTGCGACTGTTGTACGATAGTAAATTAAAGAAATATCAAGAACCGAACACGAAACAGTCGTTAATTACATGTAGCGTAATGGGGATTTGCGTCGCCGACAGATTAGCGGACAATTTGGACATGGAAGTCGCAAAAGCTGAGAGATTATATTACAACTGTGATTATCATCAATGTTTCTCGCTTACAGAGAAGTAGGTATCTATCGAAATGTTGTTTCTCATTCCGTATCGTAACAAAATGTAACGTGATATTTCTTATCTTAGAATCTTGAAAAAAGATCCGTACCACAATTCCTGTCTTCCGGTGCACATTGCCTGTTTAGTTGAGCTTAAAAAAACCAACGGTAAGTTTACATTTTGTCGCAATAAATGAACAATACGAAAACTCGTTAATAATGAAACTTTATTCCTTAGCTCTGTTTTATCTGGCGCACAGATTGGTCGATTTATACCCGGAAATGGCCTTAGCATGGTTTGCAGTTGGATGCTATTATTATACTATTGGTAAGTGTTTATTGTTTAATAAATATTTTTTAGACTAAACAAGATTATATGTTAATTGAAAGATATTAAATTCAAAATATTTCATGAGATTAGATTTGTAAATTAAAAGAAAATGTTTAAAATTACTCAATAATACATATTTCCGTTGCACTGTAGGCAAAAGTGATCAAGCAAGAAGGTACTTGGCAAAGGCTACCGCACTGGACAGATTGTTTGGTCCCGCTTGGTTAGCATACGGACATTCCTTCGCGGTTGAAAATGAACACGATCAAGCTATGGCTGCTTATTTTAAAGCGTCGCAATTAATGAAAGGTTGCCATCTTCCGCTTTTATATATCGGATTAGAATGCGGTTTGACGAATAATCTAAAACTGGCTGACAAGTTCTTTCAACAAGCTCAAGGAATAGCACCGAACGATCCCTTCGTGATACACGAAATGGGCGTTATATGTTTTTATAATTTAGAGTAAGTATTATCTCGGTATTCAGTTTTCTCCTGCTTCATTTATATTTGTAATACAAAGATTACAAATCTCTGTTCGCTCTATTTACCAATAAATTATCACTGAGAATTATTCCTGTTAAATACAGTTACAAAAATGCAGAACGATTATTTAAGGAAGCTATGAAAAGCATTCAAGGCGACCTAAGGAACGTGATTCTACCCAGTAAGTGGGAGGCGCTACTGAATAATCTGGGCCATACTTGTAGAAAAATGAAAAAATACGACGAGGCACTAGAATACCATCAACAGGCGCTAGTTTTAGATCCCCTGAACCCATCGACTTACTCGTCGATCGGATTTATTCACGCGCTAATGGGGAACATCCAGGAGGCAGTGGATGCTTTCCACAGGGCGCTCGGTCTAAGGAGGGACGACACATTTACCGCGACCATGTTGGGTTACGTTATGGAGCAACTGATTGATGAGGCACCCCCATATCCTGGTACGTATACAATTGAATTGGTATTACAGAAAGAATAATATTAAAAGAGGGAAAAACTATCAGTTGTGTGCATAGAAAATTTATTTTTAAATTCGGTACAATATTTCGTCAGGAAAAACTAATTAACACTCCTGAATCTTTGCGAAATGATAATTTAACTGTCTCTTTTGTAGTGATCGATTTAATTTTTACGCGTTATATTCCAGAAAATTTATTTAAAATTATATTTCATTACACGCCGCAATTTATGCTAAAATCGTGAAATTTGCAAATTTTTCAGAGCACCTACGGAGATACCGAAATATAAATCTGAGGAAAGTGAATTACGCTAACATCGTTAAATTTGCAAATTTTTCAGATGCACCTACGGAGATACCGAAATATAAATTTGAGGAAAGTGAAGTCAGATTGTCTGAGGATAGCGAAGTTAGACTGTCTGTGGAGAATTCCAGCAACGTGGGTAGCAGCAGCACGAGTGGTCAAAATATCGATAAATTAAGAGTGAATCTGTTCTCTGGAAGCTGGGGAGAGAATTCCGGCAAAGGAGAAGCCAGTACGCCCGGAAAGCTGGAGCAGCCAACGCGAGACGTGCTAGTCGTTAATTATTCGAACGGCGATAGTTCCGAAGTTGAAATGTTAGATTCTTCGACCGCACATATAGAATATAATTAGCTTGCAAACTTCTTTTCAATCGGGATAAAAATAATGGTGATTTTTTTTTCACCGAACTGTAGCTTTGTTTAATATTCAGTGTAGCAAAATGATTGTAAATAGCGTGTATATATTTTTTCCTTTTTATATGTACTCTAATTTTGATACACCTTATAAAGTCACACGAGCTTCTCGTGGGAAGATATTATACTCCGTTGGTATCGCATCAGTCTGTAACAATTTGTTAGCTTAAAAAATAAAGAGGGCGAGGGTGATTCTAATAGTCAAGAATCAGTTATAACTAATTTTTATATAGGGAAGGCGTTTTTTTCGCGTATCTTATTTTGTCTCAAATAAAAAATTTCTTTTTTCCCTATATCTCTTTAGTCTTTTTTTTTTATATAAAAGCGGTCTCGAAGGAACGTGTGTGTGTATGTGTGTGTGTGGGGGGGGGGGGGGAAGAGAGAAAAGACGCGAGAAAAGAGTGTGAGAAGAAAATAAAGCGTTTATTTTAATATTTTAGGGCAAGCCTTCTAAGAGATTAATAAATAAATAAATAAAAACGAAGAAAATAGGAAAAGACGATATGAGAGAAAATAAAATTAGAAAACAGAGTTGGAGAAGCGGTAGAGTGGGCGAGGGTGAGAGGAGGGAAGGAACGGGGGGCGGGCGGAGATCTTTAAGTTGAACTCGCGGCGGGGTGGGTGGTGCAGTATGTGGAAGAGGGGGCGTTCCATTTCCGCCGTGCGTAGTGTCATCGGCAATAAGTTGGCGAACGGAGATTTTCTCGTTTAATCGAGGGAAACGACGGTCGAGGGCAGCGAGAATTCGCGCGGCTCGTTAAAATCTCCCACCGCGATCTCGAGAAACCACCCCCTCGCCCTCGCCGCCGCCGCCGTCGTCGCCGGTCGCCGTCGTCACTCGGCAGCCTCGGCACTCGCGCGTAACTTCTCGCGGAGCGCGCAGCGCGTGAAGTTTGCCGCTTAATCACACGTTGTTGTTAGTGGCGGACGGGATCGAGTCGGCTTCCACTCGCTCGTGTCCCTCGAGACCCGTGCGGGAGCGAGCCGCGTCGAGGTGACTCCTGAACATCGCGCATCCTCGAGGCTTCCTCTCGTGACGGGACGCTCTCCGCGGACATGCCCACGCTGATGCAACCGGTAAGTTTCGTCTCGCCCGTTCGGGGCTCTCTCAGCTCTCGAGGGATTGTCGCGGCGGGGAGGACGCGGGATCGCGATTAATCTCCGTCCGGAGTCCGGATTAACGTCGCGGTGACTCCGAGGACTCGAGAGTCGCGCTGCACCTCCAGTGATTCCAGTTAGATCCGTCCGCTCTTTACATCGCGCGTGAAAGTACGCGAATATTAATATATTACGGTATTACACAACTACGTGCGAGAAAGCAGAGGGGAAAATTTTGAGACGAAGTCGCGACATTTTGGAAATTGAAAGCGGGAAAGGAGCCTCGATCCCGGATTCCGCGCTCGGTGGTGCTCGGCGGTCCCGACGATTTCTTTCCGTGCCTCGCCGATTCCGGGCGCTCAGTCTTCAATGCGCCCGGAATGCTCCCCGCTTTGCTAACTCGATCGGTCGCGCCGCCGGGCCGGATGTGCCCGATACACGTCGCGAAGGAATGTCCCGCGTCGCGCGAAAACGTAAATAAACACGGCGAGACATGCCAGAGCCGATTGGTACGCGCGAAAATTCCTCCGTCCGAGCGTATTATCCGTAACGCGCCGTCTGAGAGTCCGGCTCCGAGGAAGACTCGGATCCCCTCGCCGACGGCTGACGGCCGACCGCGGCGACCGGGCCGACGGTCTTACGGGGCGCGAGGGAGGGCGCGATCCCGAATCCCGTGGGGCCGCGCGACGAGAATCCGGGTCGGTCGCGGTCGGTCGATCCTCAATCCTCAACCTCATTCCCCGGCGAGGGATGAGGAGCCGCGCGATCTCGCGCGGCTTTCGATGGTAAACACGTGCCCCGCATTGCGATATACCGCCTCGACTGAATTCCGCGAAATTCCGATTCACCGGGAATTAGGCGGATTATCCGAGCGCGTCGGATAAATCTCCGTGTCGAGTTGTCTCGCCCGTGTATCGTTAATCGTCGACCTCGACGATGAACGAAGCAGCCAACAGCCCGCTTTCGGAGCACCTCGAATCTCCCCCGAATCTCATTTCGAAAATCGGAGAAACCGCGTAATATTCGTTTCGCAATATTCGTATCGTCAGAAGTCAGAAAGCTTAATTACTTCGGCCAGAAGGTGGAGAATTTGAATAACTTTAAACGCACGCCCCCCCCCCCCCTCAAGCGGTTGGGGAATATTTCCGATCAACGAGAAACTACTCTGCGATTGTAATTAATTATAAAATAATTTCTTATATTTATAATTCTCTTTCTCTCCTTTTCTTTTTCTTCCTCCCTTTTTCCCTCCGCTATAAATTACATATCACGGAAAAAAAGATTAGCTACTATAGCTAAAATAGTCGTAATATATGGATAACTAACATTTTTTGCAGCGAGAACAAAAGATTTTGCTACTATTGTTAAACTATAGCTCTCGCTGCAAAAAATATTGTTTATCCATATTTTACGACTAAATTTAGCTAAATTTTTTTCCTATTTGCCCACCTCGCAGCGATTGACCTGAGCTACAATTGCGAAAGTGGGTATACTCGTTAATCGTGAACGCAGAACGGAGTAATATCCCGAAGGAGAACAGATTCCTCGCGATTCCGTGCGCGGGCGACGCGGCGAGGTACGCGACGACGACGCAAGGGATTGATCGACCGTCGACGGTTTACTCGGGTGAAAGCCGAAATTCCGAGAAAAGCTGCGGAATGTATTTTCCGGGCGCCTCCCCCACCCCCCTGTAAAGAAGAATTTTTGCTTTTTTTCGCGAATTCCACAAACGCGTCGCGTGCCGCCGCACCGCGCGCTGGGAGCGCTGCGTCCTTCAGGGGGAAGCTCTGTTTTCGACGCGCCGCGTAGTCCGCCGGCGTCGCTCGTACTGTTCGCACGCCGGAGAAAGATCTGCGAGGCACGTCCGATTTCCGGCAGGTAAAGCGAGGGCCGGTCTCTTCCACCCTTAATCTTAACGATCGCGAAGATCTCGTGAAAGCGGGCGGGCTGGGGCGCGATAAACCGGGAACGCCGCGATATTCCGATATTCTTCGATGTAAATGTATATATATATATTCGACTCCACCCGGAGAGTCTTCTGTTTATAAACTAGGCTGCTAGACCTATATATTGGATCGCTTGTACGTCAATCTCGTGTAATTCGGGATATCTGCTCCATCCAGCTGAAAACGGGAACTCGAGAGTTTATGGGGAGCCGGTAGTTTTTATGAGTTCCAAACGGTGGTCGGATCGCTCCGGAAAGCGACGAGCGAGGGACTTTCGATAATTGCGCGTTTCTATAGGAATCCAACTTTTGGTCGCGTGAAGTATATGATTGCGGTTCCCTTCGATTTGTCGCGCGTCGAACTTATACGACGAAATTATACTTTCTTTGGGAAATCAGTTTTGTGCGCGTCCAGTTTCCAATCGCGTACTCGGCTTTGCCGCCACGTATCAATTTTACTACTTGAACGATAAAAGTCTCCGATTCTTTCACAGATTTCATTACTTGAACTGCTCGCAGGCTCTCTCTGTTATTTATTTTTATTTTTTATAATTTAACGCGTTAAGAAATATTCGCTCCGAATCGGGCGGAGGAATGAGAATCCCTCTCTCCGGAATATCGAAACGGGAATATTATCTAGAATTGTGTTATTCAGGACGCGCGGGGCAGTGACCGATTAGTGAACGTCGATTTTCGATTTTCGATTTTCGCAGTCCGACATCTCACTGGTGAGCGACGAGGTCGACGAGACGGACGTCGGATTCGAGCGAGGCGTACTGATGCATCATCAGGATCCGCTGCACCACCAGGATGCGACGCAGAGCCGGGAGCGCAGCAAGTTGCTGCTGCGCAAGCTGAGCCAGACCTGCGAGCGGGAGCGCGGCAAGGAGCGCGAACAGGAACGCGAGAGGCTGCATCAGTTGCAGTCGATCAACAATCTGCTGCTCGACCTACCGACACCTCCGTCGCCGTCGCACCTCCCGACTTTCTCGCAGGACGTCTCCTCCTCGTCCCAGTCGGACAAGAACGCCAGTACCGACGGTAAGACGACGATGCTCTTTGCCCCGCTTCTCGCGAGTTTTATTTGAACCGGGTCAATGGGAGCTAACGATTTGTCGATGATGAAGTAAAATTGTCGGGGACCTCGAAGATTCTTTTAGAAACCTAGAGATCGTGTTTGAAAGGTCTTAACTCCGAGGGATCTCCGGAGCCTTCCTGGCTCCTGATCCTTGTATCTTATTGTCATTGAGATAAAAAAACAATGTGGTATGAAGACCCCGCAAAATGATTCCAAGTCGAGATAACGTAGTCCGGTAGCCGACAAATAATGATCCAATTTAATTATAAGGGCAAAAATAAAGTATAGATTTATTTATTGATTGACAATTTGCTCGTAAAAAATGATCGGCTCGAACACAAGTTCAGATTGTCTTTGTTTCCACATTTCTTTTCACGCGATTGAAGTAATCAAGGGTGCTAATCACTCTCTTTCCCGCAGGCGACAGTGCGATCTCGGATATGTTCGGGTTGGGCTTGCCTCGAGGATCCCTGATGGGAAACCAATCGACGATCGGCTCCTCCTATCGTAACTATCAATACGGTAATTACGACCAAACGCAGGGATCCTCTTCACAACAACATGAGGTAAAGTCGCGCACGCCGATCTACTCCTTCAGATTTGTTTTAGCGTAAGAGTTTGTTAAAAGTACCGAAAAGCTTGTTTATGGCGACGAATTTGATGTGATGCTTGAATTGAGAACGCAATAAACTATACACGACAAAGTTATTTAACGCGGTTTTTATTACAACCGGATAATAGTATTAGAGTAGGTGGATCACAGTAGGAGTCAATGTAACTGGCGCATCGTGATAAGACGTATTATCATTGAGATACAAACCACGCAACGTGGTATGAAAACTTCGCGAGATGACATAATCCGGTAATCGACAAATGATGATCCAATTTAATTATACCGACAAAAATAAACGAGAGGATTATTTATTGATTGATAAATAAAAATCAAATAAATTTGCTTTATTACGAACAGAAATATCGAGCAGAAATTTTTTCGTGTGAGAGAAAGAGATATATATGTTCGCTTAGTTTTATAATATTTTATATTACTTCGTTGCATTTTATTTCACATTGATAATGTCTTGCGAGGATTATACTACCACTCCGGCGCTATTTTACTAGCTAAAATTGCTTCCCGCTATGAAATAAGAATACATCCGACTCGACAACGATTTGATAAAAAACGCGACTACGATGATAACTTCGGTGAATTGCAAATTTTACGTGGAGAATGGCGATAAAGATGATAAATGCAACATAAAGCATATTGAGTAACATAGAGGCATTTACTCGTCGGTGCAATAACCCGAACAATGAACATCCCTATTGGAATAACTCCAACTACCTTGTCTCATTCTTTTTCTCCGATTCTAGTATCTAACTGTCGATGCTTGTATTATACCGTATTATATATTATACGCATTGGATATCATTAAACTAACATGTTTTTCTCTCAACAATTTATTTCGTGGCAAACCCGCGATCAATTTTTTCCTTATTTGTCATTTATTTCTTTGGCTATGACGTACATCAAATATTGGAATGCTTCAAAATCGGGTCTTTATTCATAACGACTTAAATAAAATGTACGGTGCGCTAAGACAATCTCGACGGTCGAGAATTCGTTGTCCCGAGCCAAACAGCTCTATTAGAACCCACGTCGTTTCGCCTTCTTTTAATCCGAGCCGACGCAAAATTGCTGCCATTTCAAAAGATCGCACTCTTCTCTCGCACTCGTCGCGTAATATTGTGTTTCAATTTGGACGTGTTCCAAGTACTCCGAAACACATGTGCGCGGAGAACATTCCTCATCTCTTCCTGTTATCTTTTCGAAAAGCAAAGTCCGACATGCTGCTTAACCGAGATACGAAATTCTAGATTCGATGAGCCCAATTCAATTCGATTCCCCGCGCCACTCTTGTCGTCACTTGTTATAAGTTAGCGTAACAGATTAATCTTTGTATTCCCGTGGCGCCGAGATCTCTGAACGCATCGAAGCGTTATCGATTTTTCATCTTACGGTGGTCGCGAGAAGTACAATTTGCCTGCATGAATAAAGAGATACAGGAATGAAAGAATAGAGGATGAGTAAAGAATTACTTTGGACGACGATTCTCTCCTTATCTTGTCGATATTATGACTTGACCTCGATGTGTAATTACCGTATCAATTGTGTGTGCACAGTGTCATCGGAATCACGGCTTCTGCTCAAATACCTCAGGTCTGGATATTCCGAGCTCACCGAATTCGATGACCACTCCCGGCAGTCCGAGCACACCCGGCAGCTTCACCTCAGATCCTTACAGTTACTCGTCCACTGCCAGTAATAGCACGAACACGCCGTCCTCACCAACTGGCCGACCGTCATTCCAATACCCGGGCTCTTCGTCATCGCCCACTGATTCGTATTTCGGCCGTCCTATACGAGGCTGCTCTACACCATACAGGTAACTACAGAATCGGGCAACTAAGGATGAAGCATATCAAGTCTAATAATGTAAAATAAAATTTACAAAATAGCATTTCTTCAAATATATTTAAATTAGTATTGAATTTTATTATTTGCTACTTTCATACAAATTGATAGATCTGATCAATTCTATTCTACTCTATTACCTATATTGAATTAATATATATGTGCACAATTGAATTAATTACATGTATGTAAAAATACTGCTAAAATTTGATGAGTGATTATTGAATTCCTATATATTTCGTGTGTCCCATAAGTGGTGATTTATTGATAGTGATTGTGGCAGCCCAACATTAGAGTTCTCTCATCTTCTGGGATGTAACGGCTCGCGTTCCAACTCACCAGCAGACTCGGAGACAAGCGGTATTGGTAGCGCGGATGGCTCTTTATCCGACATAATAATGGTGAGAGTGTTTCTCCCACGTGAATATATTTCATTGCCTGAATTATTGCACCGCTCTCTAAACATTTCTATCGAAAACGCTTGTTTGTAGAATTGTTTGTCGCTGAATTCCTCGTCGAATTCTTGCTTCCCGCCGTCCCTGGACTCCATAATGTCGAAGACAAACACGTGCCCGAGCAACAGGACGGCGTTCGAGCGTATAGCTGTAAAAAAATACTTATCGTCGTTACAACAGAACTCAACGAGCTCGCATTATTACCAGCATCATCACGGACTCGGGCAAAATCGCAGCAATTTTCTCAATTCTCTCTTGAGTCATGAGAAAAATTGCTGTACCGGTCTTGGAAACGCCGCGCGTAGATTGGCCCAACCAGTGTCGCTTGATCGGGTAGCGAGATCCCACCGAAATGCCGCTGGTGCGTATCGACATATAGTATATATATATATAAATATATATATATATATATATATCTCTCTGTATAAGAGATTGTCGCAGTTATCTCATTGTCTCTTATTATGGTTATTTATATATTACTATATATTACAATAAATTATCTAAATAATTTATACTAGAGTGGTATAAATTTGCATTTGTGTTCCACTAACAAGATGTTTTTTGAATTTAAAGGAAATTTTTCTTTGATAAAATCGCAATATCAATCTTTGAATTTTAAGCTAAGAACGATGAGCTTTCACGAACAAAGTTTTAAGACTATTAAATCTTCAAGAATTTCACTTTGTGCAAAATTTCAGACTTTAGTTTTTTTTTGTTAACATATTAATTAGATAAATGATAAATTAGTTTGAGGTATATTGATCTATTTATTTCAGCACATTGTTATCCAACGTGCACATGGAGCGGTTTTCTGCCTCAAAGTACCGAGGAGCCAGTCGCTTACTCTCCCAAGGTTTTTCTAGGAGGTGTACCGTGGGATGTCACAGAAGCTATCCTGATTTCAACATTTAAACAATTTGGGCCGGTTCGCGTAGAGTGGCCTGCAAAAGCACCGTCCGCTCAGCCGAAAGGATACGCTTATATTATATTTGAATCAGAGAAACAGGTATATATTAATTAACATTCATATATTGAGTATTGATTTGATAAGTATTTGTTATACAAAGTAAATTTTTCTCAAATAATACAAAGATTATATAAATTATTTTCAGGTCAGGGCAATGTTGTCTTGTTGCACCCACGATATTACTAATGGAAGAAGATGGTATTATAAAATTATATCCAAGCGTTCAAAACCGAAAGATGTACGTCAATTCATAACGTTGTACATATATCCGGAAAGATTATCCTCAAGACTAAAGTCTCTCAATTATGTTTTACTATTTCAGGTACAAGTGATTCCATGGATTCTCGAGAATAGCAACTACATCAAATCTTCATCGCAGAGACTCGATGCACACAAAACGGTATTTGTTGGCGCGCTACACGGAATGCTAACGGCCGCAGGATTGGCGAAAGTCATGGATGACCTTTTCCATGGAGTTATTTATGCAGGTAATTATTTTTTTCATATTTATTAAATATTTTACTTTTAATCTCTATCTTTCCCTCGCACATACGAACATTAAAAAAATATATGTATTATTTTAGGTATCGACACGGATAAGTATAAATATCCAATAGGGTCCGGCCGTGTTACATTCAGTACGAAGCAATCGTATTTTAAAGCGATCACAGCTTCATTTATAGAAATTAAGACTGACAAATTTACAAAAAAGGTACGTTGGGTAAAATTATGTATGATTAAAGTGATTAACTTAAGAGATAAAGCCTATATATGTATATATCTTTGTATTACAGGTACAAGTCGATCCGTACATCGAGGAATCGATATGCTCCGTATGCGTTGTGCAACAAGGGCATTATTTCTGCCGCGATGTGGTACGGAAACATTTTAATTTCTATGTAGTTTTATTTCACGCAGAATTCTAGAATTCCTCACAAGCGGCTTCACTTTTAGCATAACGTTATTTGTGATAGCCTTACCGTTTTTTTTTTTTCTACAACCCACTTCTTTACGCATATGTTAAATTCCATACGGATTTGTTTTTCAGGCATGCTTCCGATACTTTTGCCGCAGCTGCTGGCAATGGCAACACTCCGTGGAGTCTATGTCACATCACACACCTCTGACGCGGAACTCAAAGACGAATCAAGTGATAGGATTGAATCCGAATTTCGGAATGAACAACTGTCCCCGTATGTCAAATGCGACGATGATGTAAAGGAGGCGACGTGCGAAAAGATCTTGTACGCGCGGCGCTTATACGCGGCCGGTAAAATTGCTTTTTGTTCGCGCGGCCGTCGTCTTCCTTCTCCTTTTTGTTCCTTTTTGACTCTACCGGTTAAACCGACGTTGCGCCGCCCGATTTAGAACATCGGGTAACAGGGTGCAGACTTAGTTTTTATCGCGTAGCCGCGGACAGCTTAGGACTAGTCCGACGATACGGGGACACGCCGATTCATACCGCCGATTTGAGCTTGCGAACGCGCAACGATTGGTTCATTATCGTTACCGTGCGTGCGAAAGGACAATATGAATATTGAAAATCGTGTTTGTTCCAAAAGAAGTTCCTATTGCGAACGCAGTTTTTACTACGTTCGAGAAAAAACGATATACTTTTATTTAGTACGAGTTTCACTTGGAGAGACAGGTTCTCTTATAGATTTTTTTTTATTGCTAAATAATACTATCGTGCCAAAACAGTAGATGCTAGATTATACCCGGGATCGTGTATTACGCACAATGTACACACACGTGTATACACATTTTTTTTTTCGTTAGAGTCGTGAGAGTTGTATTGTGGGCTTTCACAGTGACAATAATTTTTTACGCGAAACGATAGGGCTCCGTCATGGCAATTTTGAGCTGGGCTCAATGAAACACGTAGAATTCTCAGGAAATCTATGATAGCATCGCCATCATAATGCGTTTATCGTGTTAAAAAATATTACGCTTAATTATGTATTGTTACGATAATGCTAGAAGAGATTATTCTGAAGTGGCGAGATAATAATTATGCGATAATTATTTGTCATTGCTACACTGCGCGTGTGATCCGAATAGTAATGTGATATAACGGGAGACTTACCGTGGATGTACCGTATAACTCGCCGGTCGTTCTTCCATTACGATACTTGTCAATAACGTTAAACATTGTTAATTTTACGTTAGATTACAATGTATCTCTACATTTGGTTGCGGTGTAACGCAAACGCGTGTTGCGTTATTGACTGCGATCGACTGGATTTTTGTATTATTAGCCGAGGCGAGCGGCTGTCACAGGTATTTCGCTCACATGGACTGTTTAACGGTTGACGAAATGGAGAAGTACATGGTCTACGATTCTGGCGCGGATTGTAGGAGAATTGAGTCGTTTTTATTTTTTTTCTTTTTTTTCTTACTATGTACAATTGTGTTGCACCTCTTCTTTGAATAAGGTTCATCCTTCATTCACGTTTTTCCCGTTTTGATACGATTTTGTTGAATTAAAAAACCAGATTTTTGCAGATACCCGATGCTTGTTTTTATTTTTTATTTGTCATTCCATTTTTGTATTCACCAATAACTCTCTTTCAGCTTTGTCGGTGATAAATGCTATTGAGACAGTATTGAAAATACGTTCTTAAAGTTGAATATATTATTTCCTTATCCATATCATCATTTACAAACTATAATTTTAACTGATTAAGCTAATAAAAATCGACTTAAAAAGGAATCAACCTAAGTAAATATGTCAATTTTATTTTAATCTTTTTATATTGATAACCAACCAACAAATGTTTATTGCAAAGCTGAAACAATCTTACAGCAACCTGCTTTTTACTCATGTTTCGCATTCTTGTGCATTAATTTGTTTATTTTTACGTTACAATGATATCTAGTCTTGAGTTTTATTATGCGCATATTCATTTTAGCGGTGAATGACGGTGAAACACTAGGTTGTTAAGAAAAAGTAATGTCGATAGAAGTAAAAGCGATATATTCAGCCTGCAAGTGCACAATATATGACAATGCATCGCTAAAAGAATTCAAAACTGTCTATTCGAATGATGATAATGAACTTACATTCGCAGTTAGAGACATGAAGTTAATATTCTCTGAAAAATATTTGTGGATGATTTCTATTATATATCCCGTTACATATAAATATATATCACTGTCTATACTTCACAAATGATAATGTGGTTGCTACATATATAAGCAATTATTGAAGAAAAGTGCTTTACAAAATACATTGATACAAATATTATATATACGTATATACTCAAAGCGCTTCAGATATATTTCAAAGACACCTTTAATCTACAAATTACTCTATACAACAGCAGTATTATCGATTCCACATTCGATATGCAATTTTATCGGAGAGAAATTTTAATTGTCTACACTACTACAGCATGCTGTTTGAAAAGATTTTCAATAAGTCGTGCCTTTTAACGTAACCCTCATAGATTTGTTTACATGGCAAATATAAATTATTTTTTAAGCTATGTATAATAACTTACAGTGTGCGCATATAATGTTAAGCTTTTAACGAGATTAGGCCAAGAGTTTCACTCCATTGATCGGATTGGAATATATATATAGTTTATTCAATTAAATACTTATTAAAAGGTATTCTTCTTGAATAAACTAAATAAAATCGAGAGAGAGAGAGAGCCGTTCAATATTGATGTAACTGAGCTTCGATTAGTAAACCATGGTGTGACGCTAAATCGCATCATGGACCAGTCCAAAGTATTTCAGTTTAAGTTCAAATGAGAAGTGCCTCTCCTATATATTTTAGCTTTTATTAATAATGTTCAAGAGTTAACAATACAATGGTTGCGTGTACACAACGTATAAAATAACAAGTTTTACGACACTGTACCATGCGTAAAGCAGATAATTCGAAAACAGTTAACAAAGCTTCATCTGAATATAATAAGATACTTAGATCCAATTTTTAAATCTCATTCGTGGTTCGTATTTAACCCTAAATGTTTTGGTCGTGATATTATCGTACATACGATATTTACGAAAAAGTTGAATTTAAATTAGTTTAAAACTAATTAATCATTGTTTTAAGTGTTATAATTACAAAGTTTTACTTTTTCCTGTGATGCAATTTGTCACTCTGGCAGCTGTGCACTCTTACAGCGTTATTTAATAAAGCCTTACGATAAGGCTTTTTAAAAAAAAGTTTAACAATGGCCTTTATTTATACAAACGGTTTTTAACAAAAATAGAATAATTTATTATTAGATAAGTACGGTAATAATAATGAAATTCCTTTTCCGTCCCATTGAACTTCTGTTATGTACACGTTACTGGAACTAATAAAACATCTTTTTACAGACATGCATGTATTAATGTACTCGTAAACAGGAAATTTCTTTTTATTTCGGGACGCGATATGAAAAAAATTAAAAGTGCGAACTGTCCAACTTGCGTTAGTGAACAATTATCATCTTGAGAGATCATCAAAACTATTAAAAAATACATATCTCGATATATTTTTCTTCTGTAACATTTTTTTATTTAATATTGCCAATGCATGTACAACGCAGTTATCCATAATATATACAATACATTATATACAATATTCATGAGCAATGATCGTAATTATTTTTTATAAATCGTAACAAAAAATAAAATAGCAAATTAATAGAAGATATATTCTATATTCTAGATTTAGGATCTGAATCTGGTAAAAGTTTAGATAAGCAATTACAAGGAATAAGCGCGCCAGTGGAAGCACATCTTAAAAAGTCGCTGCAAGAAGCCGCAGAGGCTTTCAGAAATTTGCAAGACAATTATTATGAAGATAATATATATATACACACACAATCACCCACACTTTAACGATAAGACCTTTCTCCGATAATCATTAGAAATATTTTTAACTTTTTATTTGCCGGCTAAGAGCTTGATAAAGCCCAATTAACGACGATATTGTACCAAGTGCTCCAACGTGCCACGTTTTTAAACGGCCTCCCCAAAGTACTCCCGGAGGTAAATAACTGATCGCATAAGAAATATCCAGCACAGTGCGCGTGCATGTCAATAGCGCATTTTGCCGTTGCTCGTTGAGGCCTTTCAACAAGGTTCTATATTCGAACAGAAAGAAACAAATGTGTTAAGCTTGTTCTTACTTGTTTTCACTTGTTCTTTCTTTTGAGATAGTAACATTAAAAATAATATTTAAAATTATCATGAAAACTGTAATAATAAGATACTTACCGCTTACTAGGATCACTTCTTTCCAATTCTATTTTGTATTTATGAAGCTTTCGTAATAGTCTCAGCGATCTGAAATAATAATTGAATATTTTACGTTTTTTTTTTTAAACAAGTTTACAATAGGATATTAATTATTTATGAGACGTTGTTTTGACACAAAATAATGCACTCCTCAACAGTTATAGAAATATTTAAAAGACCGTAAAACGCTATTTTCGCTTACTTCAGTAAGGACAGGTGTAGAGAAACTATCCAAAACCAAGTTGTAGCAAGATCCCATTTGTCATTATTGATCGACACTATATTATGCTGGCCAGCCCAAGCAATGGTCTCTATGGGAGAATAAATAACGTCTACTACATTTTGTATCACTTGGCTCCATCTAATCAACCAGTCAGGTTCCTATTATTAGATTACATATGAAATTTAAATGGCTCTAGAAAAATAAGGCAATACGTTATATAATATTCTTCGAGTAGAACTGGTCAGAAATTTCAGTAAAGTTCCATTTTAATTTTAAACTGCGACATAATTAATTCATGTTAAACTAATAGGAATACCTGCTTTCCCCATCCGTATGTCATCACGCAGTGAAGCGTCGGAAGGTCATCTAGCAAGCGCAACATCACTCTGCACTCGCTCATCTGGCTCCCAAAGGTCTTGAGCTTCTTCTCGGTATTCTTGGACGATGTACATACAGTAAGAAGCTTTGCAGTATAAGAGAGAGTTCTCAGCATCTTGTCTCTGCCGGAATAGGTTTCCAAATAATCGCTCGTAAGCGGTAGAGCCATTTCTGTTCCTTATTTATTGGCAAATGAAAGAATCGAGGTACCAATAACAATTTGCAGCGTTGGCTGTCAGTTACTCAGTTCACTGCAACAAAAATTATAAGACATATGCCATAATTAGTTTAGCTGGTTCAGCATATGTTTATGCTAGAATAAAATTAAATACTCCCTCTATTGGAGCAAATATCAGAAAAAAATTAGAAGATATTGAAACTCTTAGTTCTGTTCGATATAAAAGCATTTAAGTAAAGGATTGTAATAAACCACTTTTAAAGGCAATATTTTCAGACAAAATCGATTAAGATGACAACTGTTACAATAGATAACTTCGTAACAGGTATCGCAAGATTACAGGTGTGTAACGAAGAATTACTTTCATTCTTGTATGACGTGTAAGAGCACCACGCACGTGATTTTCTTGTGTTTTATTTGACAAAATAAGACTAAAGATAAAGACTGAATAAGAGACTGGTCTATTTCTAGACAAACAATTCATGTACATACGTACCTGGGAAGGAGTCTTCTCCTTTTCTACTATCTGATTCCCGACAAAATGTGCGCAGTCACGCTCAGACGTAATCGGACTGTTAAAATACTTTTTTATTACGGCATATGTTACAGAGCATGCAGTTCGACCAGTTTATCTCGGCGGTCTCAGCCTGTCAAACGAGGGAAAGTCTTGGTGGTTTGCACAGAATCAACGTCATCGCCATCGGTCAGTCCGCCTTTGAGTTCGTCGTGAACCGGTTGTCCCGCACACAAACGCATCGGTTAACGCCGAGTCGAAGATAATTTTCATCTATATATCTAAGTAGTACTAGGGAAGACTGAAAGCAGTCGAGTCATGCCAGTGATCTACGATCTACTGAATAACTGAATACTGAAACTGAATACTGATTTCTGAAACAAATTATGCTGATTCACAGCGCCATCATATCTATTTCATCGTGGACGTGAATGTGGACGTAGAAAGTAGAAACTACATAGCGACTTTTCGAGATGGTAAAATGCTATTTGGTTTATCTTTTAATATTTCTCTCTGATGATATGTATTTGAGAACTCAAATTTTTGCACCCGTGGACTTAAAATTCTTTAGAAATTCTTTTACAAGAAGTGCCATTTTTAGTTTATTATATTTTTTAAATATTATTTTTTATTTATTTTATATTATGGGAGTTTAAATTTTAGCGGTTTTGCAAAGTACCGACGATCGACGTCGGTAATTACAAACGATGTCGATAATTACAGATAAGGTAATCAGCTACCTTACCGACACTATTATTTTGAGAACAAAAATTTAAATTATCAAAAATCGATACATATACACAAAAAAGATATAAAGATAAAATATATTTTGTTTATAAAAGTATTGAACTTATTAATTAAAAAAAATCGCAATCTGTTAGAAGCTCCTTGCGCGGCTCAGACTAAAAGTATTGTACGTTTTCATTATTTATAAAGATTCATATAGTTTATAGTTGACGTATATATACTCTTTTGCTCCGTAAAGAAAATCATTATTGGGCTTTCAACATAAAAACAAAGTATATTATTTTTACAATTTGAACTATTTTTATCAAGATTTTTATAAAATATAGCATAATATATTCTTTATTGTATGATAAAAGATAAAATATTGTTTGCAGTACTTTAAACTCATTTATTTATATTAGTCCCGCTTTATACACCGGAAATAAGTTGGCGCTGCAAGTTCATATTTTTTAATGAACTATAGCTCAAACGATTGCTCCCTAATTGCTCCCTCAGAATCGACAATTGCTCCTTTTTTTAAATTATTATTTTTGGAGATATTTAATAAAAACGAAAAATTTCTAATTTTTATTGAAAAACATATTTATAATAACTCTATGCAACTTTATACGGCATAGAACGATTTAGCCCAGTCAATAGAGCCCGAAAAAACCGCTGAAATGAAATTAATTCCGGGAAGCGATTTTTTTTCTTTGACTGTTTTGGAGGGTCATGGGTAGTCTAAAACCGGATTTTCGGGATTCTAACCCTGGAACGTTAGCCGCCATTTTGATTAGAAGAGTGATTTTGTAAATATCTTGCTTATTTTCAACTTTAGAGTGAAAGTGGTAATAACCAAACTTGTAGAAAATTTAATACTCTACAATTTTGGTCCTTATCATTTTTTACCTAGGATCGATATTTTGGGTCTTAGACTCGAAAGTGGGGGG